GCAGCGATCCTGTCGGAACCCAGGACATTCCCCTGGCTGCCCTGAAGGTCTCTGAACCCCTTGTCAGGGTCCCGACTCCTCCAGGGCAGCCAGAGGAATTTCCTGGGTTCCGACATGATCCCAGACTCTCGGTCCAGGCTCAAAACCCTCCGGGCCCGGTGCCGAGGTTCGGCCCGTGTGAGCGCGGTGCCGGAGCGCAGCGCTGCCAGCCCTGTGACCGCCCTGGCGGTGTCACCGCCGTGTCCCTCCCTCCCTCTCGGCTCCGGTGGCACCTTCGGCCGTGTCGCGGTAGCCGCGGCTCCGGGGTGTCCCTGCCTCCCCCGACGTGCGTCAGCAGGGCTCCCACCGCGCTCCGGGCGCCAGATGCGCCTGTGCCAGATGTGCCCGTGCCAGATGCGCCTGTGCCAGATGCGCTCTCGGCGGAAAAATGTGCGTGCCGGGGCCGGGGCCGGGCCGGTGCCGCCCGCATTCCGCGGCGGCCGCGCTGGCTCCGTCCCAGCGGGCATCGGCCCGGCCGCGACTGCCGCTCCCCGACGGGCCCCCGCACCCACAGCGTGTCACGGGTGGGTGTCGGGCCGCGTGTCACGGGTGGGCGGCGGCCGGCGGGGCTCCCGGGGCGCCGCCGGTGCGCGGTTGGACCGTGAGTCACGGCAGGACGAGGCCGCGGCCCCGCGTCCTTTGGACTCCGCACCGGGGACGGGCAGCGCCCGCCGCTGCACAACGGGGCTGCAGACATGGATATTGGGGTGCAGACATGGTTGTTGGGGTGCAGACATGGATGTTGGGGTGCAGGCATGGGTTTGGGGCGCAGACATGGATATTGTGGTGTAGACATGGATGTTGGGGTGCAGACACGGGTGTTGGGGTGGAGACATGGATATTGTGGTGTAGACATGGATATTGGTGTGCAGACACGGATATTGGGGTGCAGGCACGGATATTGGGGTGCAGACATGGTTGTTGGGGTGCAGACATGGATGTTGGGGTGGAGACACGAATATTGGGGTGCAGACATTGGTGTTGTGGTGCAGACATGGGTATTGGGGTGCACACACGGACATTGGGGTGCAGACATGGATATTGGGGTGCAGACACGGATGTTGGGGTGCAGAGATGGATATTGGGGTTCAGACAAGGGTATTGTGGTGCAGACATGGGTATTTGGGTGCAAACATGGATATTGGGGTGCAGACATGGATATTGGAGTACAGAAATGGATATTGGGGTGCAGAGATGGATACTTGGGTGCAGACATGGGTATTGGGGTGCAGGATGTGGGCCTTAGTGCCCTGATGTGTGTGTTGTGGTGCAGGCATGGGTATTGTGCAAACATGGCTGTTGCGGTGCAGATATGGGTATTGTGGTGCAGACATGGATATTGGGATGCAGACATGGCTTTTGGGGTGCAGACATGGGTATTGTGGTGCAGACATGGCTTTTGGGGCGCAGACATGGATATTGGGGTGCAGACACGGATTTTGGGGTGCAGACATGGGTGTTGGGGTGCAGACATGGATATTGGGGTGCAGACATGGATATTGTGGTACAGACATGGTTGTTGGGGTGCAGACATGGAGGTTGATGCACAGACATGGATATTGGGGTGCAGACATGGACGCTGGGGTGCAGGAAGTGGGCCTTAGGGCCCTGACACGTGTGTTGGGGTGCAGACATGGATACTGTGGTGCAGACACAGATATTGGGGTGCAGACCTAGGCATTGGGGTGTTGGCTATGCCAGGCTGGCAGCGCCCAGGGCACCCACGGCTGCCCTTTCCCCAGCAGCTGCCACCACCCCTGCCGTGGATGACGTGGGTGACGTTGGTGACGTTGGTGACACGGGTGCTGCCCTGGGCAGGGCTGGCAGCTCTGTGTCACCCCAAGGGCTGGGGGTTCTCAGCCACCCTGGGGGTCCCCGGGCAGAGACATCCCGGGGGGATGCAGCCCCCAGAGGGGCACAAACCCTGGATTTACCCCGTGGTCCCCTCAGCTGATGTTGTCACCCATTGTGGGAGGGCGGTGGGCGATGAACCCATGGGGAGAGGGGGTTCCTACCCTGCTGGCAATGCCCCCACCCTATATGAGAGCCCGTGGGTGCTGTGGGGCACAGGGCAGGGTGTGGGGTGCTGTCCTGGGGTGCTGCTGGGAGGGGAGCTGCTGCTCGGGCTATTGTATGCATGGGGGCACCCGGGGGAGTCTGTGGGGCTCAGTCCCCCATCCTGGGGATCCTGGGGCGCTGGGGTTGTGACCCTGAACCCCTTAAGAGGGGCTCCAGGGATCTGAGCCCCTAAAATATGAGACTAGGGACTGGAGCTGGTGAACCTGGGAGCCTGAGCCCCAGGTAGGGGGAGCAGGGGTCCTAAAGCACCAGGGCCTGTGCTGGGGGTTCTGGGGTGGTCCCTGGGCTGTGGGACCGGGCGGTGCCAAAACCCCCACAGGGAATGAAGGTCCCATCTGGGGCCTGAGGTGCTGGGGAGCTCCTGACCATGAGGCCAGAGGGGTTCTGGGACCCTCTGTGAGGGGCAAGGAGGGTCTTGACCTGGAAACCTGGGGGACCTGAGTCTCCAGAGTCTGGAAACCTGGTGGTGCTGAGGTGTAGTGACTGGGGCTCCAAAAGCCCCAGGCTGTGGGTCCCGCCCCCACAGATGTGTGCTCCTGAGGGTTTCAATGCCCCGAGGTGTGGGACGGGGGGTCTGGCCGCCGTGGGTGAGGGCCGAGGGGTTTCTGAGCACCCCGATCTTCAGGAAGAGGGTCCCACTCCTCGCGCTTGCAGATCCGGGGTTCTCAGGCCCCGTGTGTGGGGCTGGGGGGTGCCGGTTCCCCGTGGCTGCTCCGTGGGTCCCATCCCGCCTGCAGGCGCAGCGAGGGAAGGGTTAAAGCTCAGGAGTTTCCTGTGGGCAGGGTCGGGGCGTGGGGCGTGGGGCGGGGGGAGAGAGCCCCGTCTCCTCCCCGGGCCGCCCCACTCGCGGCGGGACGGGCGGCGGAGCGGGAGGGCAGAGCAGCAGTGTCGGGCTCAGCCGTGTCGGGCTCAGCCGTGTCGGGGCTCACTCAGCATGTCCCGCCCGCGCCGCACCTCGGACGAGGCTCCGGCCCGAACGGGCTCCGAGGACAACCTGTACCTGGCCGTGCTGCGGGCGGCCGAGGGCCGCAAAGGTACCGAGCCTGGAGGGGCTAGGGGGGCCGCCCGCCTTCGCATCCCCACCCGGGGTGATGCCTGCGGGGCAGAGCCCCACGCCGGGCCGGGGTCCCTGGGGGGACCCCCACACCGGGCCGGAGTCCCTGGGGACACCCCCATGCTGGGTCCTTGTTCCCGGGGCTGTGGGTCCCCAGGCAGGCCGTGAGGCTACCCCACACCGGAGCGGTGTCCCTGGGGCGGAGGCAACACCGGAGCGGCGTCCCGCGTACTGGGGCGGTGTCCCAGGTTGGTGTACCCAGGGCGGGCTGTGAGTCAGACCCCCACACCGGGCGATATCTCCGGCCGGGTTGTGGGGCAGACCCTCACGCCGGGGCTATGGGGCCGAGCGCTGCAGACCCCCCAGCCGCCGCCCAGCTCCATCCCGGTGCCCTCGTTCGCTTCCTGCCACGCCCTGCTCGGCCGCCCCGGCCTGGCCGCGCTGTCCTTGCGCCGCCGCCGGGGGGTGGGCGCCGCTCCGGGGACCCCTCGGGTGTCAGCGCTGTGCGCGCGGGTGCCGGAGATGGTGTCGGTGCCCCCCGCTCGGCGCGCACTGCGCCCCACGTTTCCTTCCTTCCTTCCTTCCTTCCTCTCTCTCGTATACCGTGGCCGCTCCTGGCCCGGCACGCCCTGGCCGTGCCGCTGAGCGCCCGCGGGGCTCCTGGGGCTGTGCAGCATCCCGGGGCGCTCCGCCGGCGGGGAGCGCTGCCTCTGGGCGCTGGGTGCCGCGTGGGCAGATCCCGGCACGCTGCGGCTGGGCAAGACCCGGCACGCAGCGCCCGGCTCGCCACGGCAGGGCAGGGGGGCGGCGCGGCTGCCGAGGCTCCGGTGGCATCGCCCCGTGTGTGAATGGGGGGGCACTTGTGCCCTCCGAACCCCTCTGGGGCAGCGGGCTGGGTGCGGCACTGGTGGTGACACTGGGGATGCAGGGGACAGGAGAGCGGGTGCTGGCAGTGGGGTATGGGGGGTTAGCGGGTGCTGTGGGGTGGGTCCTGTGGAATCCCGTGTTCCCATCCCATGCGTCAGCGTTCCCATGCCATCCCCTAATGACAGGGCAGCGGGCAGGGAGCGCCGTGACTCACTGCTGCCCTGCTTGGCCCTGTGCCCACACAGAAGGGTATCCTGGGGGTGTGGGGATGTCCTGGGGTGTCCCAGGGCTCTGGCAGTGCAGACACTGCGTGGGCTCACCTTGATCCCATGCGTGCCCCACCAGGGCTCTGCCTGTGGGGCTGGGGCTGTGCCAGGACAAGCACCCCATGGCCTCGTGTCCGTGCCATGCCCAAACTGCTCAGTCAGTGCCCACCAAGCCCAGGGCAGGGTTGGGGCTGTGCCAGGACAAGCACACCATGGCCTCGTGTCTGTGCCATACCCAAACCGCTCAGTCAGTGCCCACTGAGCCCAGAGCAGGGCTGGGGCTCCTCACAGCAGTGCAGAGGGCTCGGGGTTGGGTAGGCACCTCCTGTGGTCACAGGGACACAGAATACCCTGAGTTGAAAGGAGCTCCACAAGGATCACCAAGTCCAATCCTTAATTTACCCGTACTGAGGTTGAACCTGCACCCTCGGCGTTATTAGCACCGCGCTCTGGCCAACTGATCTAATCTCAGTGTTGAGGTGCTGGTGGGTGCTGGCATAGTGCTGGCACGCCGGGGCTGGTCCCCGTTAGCTGTTTCCTCTCCCCACACCCCCGTGAGTCACCGTGCTTCCCCACAGCAGTTGGCTCATCGCTTCCTGCGCCAGCCGTGCCCTGCGGTGCCACCGCCGGGGCCTGGTTTTGCTGTGCCAGGACCCTGCTGCCACCGGCTTACCCGTGCCTCTCCTCTCTTGCAGATGAGCGAGATCGTGTCCAGAAGAAAACCTTCACCAAATGGGTCAACAAGCACCTTATCAAGGTATGGGCACTGCCAGTCCAGCGGGCACCACTGCCCCAGTGTCCCCTGCCCCAAATCACCCCCAGCCACAACCCCATGTGCTGCTATGGCCGAAGGTGTGCCCGTGGAGGGTCCCTGGTGCTGGTGCTCCTGTGCCACACCTCTGGCCAAGGCCTCTCAGCTGCCCTCCAGCTGGGATCTGCCCTCCAGCTGGGATCTGCCCTCCTGCTGCCCTCCCCGTATGCCAGGAGGGAACGGTGCCCCTGGCACCTGGGGATGTGCCCTGTGCTCTGGCACCCTCAGTCCTGTCCCACCCGTCCAGCCCCCATTCCCTGCCACAGGCAGAGCCCCACCTTGGCGCCTGGCACGCCCTGGGACACGGCCCAGCCCCCCAATGTGTCTCCACACGTCCCTGACCCTGCAGTGCCATCGTGGTGCCACCACTCTCTGCCCATGCTGGGTCCCCTCTCAGCTCTCTCCTAACTGCTCTCTTCTCTCTGCCCTGCGCAGCACTGGCGACCAGAGGTAGGTCCTTCCTCTCTTTTTCTGTCTGTCTGTCCCACTGCGCTCTTCCTCTTTGCACACCCTGGGGCTGCCACTGTGGTAGGCAGTGGGTCTGAGCCCTTCACGGTGGGTCTCTGCATGCCAGAGTGATGCCAGAGTGATGCCAGAGGGATGCCAGATCCATCCTGGCACAGGGGGAGCTGCTGTGTGTGTTTTTGGGGATCGTGGCACTGGGGGCACCAGCTGCACTTGGGGCTGTGTGTGAGCACCCGCTGCACTGGGGGGGTCACCGGGCACCCACCCGGGTGTTGGCTGGGTGGGGGGGATGTTCAGCTGTCCCCAGCCCCCCTGACACGCCCCTGTCACTGTCCCCACAGGCGCAGCGCCATGTCAACGACCTGTACGAGGACCTGCGGGACGGGCACAACCTCATCTCGCTGCTGGAGGTGCTGTCGGGTGACACCCTGGTAGGTGCCACTCTGCCCTGCCCCGCGCTGTCCCCACCTCGTGCTGGCACCCCTCCGCCGGCCGTCCTCGTCCTCCCCCTCGCTGCCTGCCTCTGTTCCCTCTCTTCCTGCTTGGCCGTCGGTCCGTCCGTCCCGGTGCCCGCGGAGTGCCCGCGCCCCCCGCCTCTAACCTCTCTTTGCTTTGGTGCCCTCTCTGCTTCCTGGCGCCGGCCCACCGCCGCCTTTGCCTCCTCCTCCTCCTTCTTCCTCTCTCTGCTCCTCTCCGCTCGGCTCGGCCGGGGCAGCCCCGGGAGCGCGACGTCCTGCGGACCTTGCGGTTGGTGAGTGGTTCAGCTCTCGGCACGGCCCCGCACGGCACGGAGCTGTGACAGCGGTGCCCAGCATGTCCCAGGACGGTCTGCATGCCCGTGCCCTGTGCCATGCCCGTTGCGGTGCCGCCCCAGGGCTCTGCTGCATGCTCTGCCTGTCCTGGTGCCCCCCCCCCGATGCCCAGAGCTGTTGGGGTGGGTTTCCCTGGGCCACAACTCAGCAGCAGCAGCAAGAGGGAAAAGTCATCTTCCACCAGCAGCATCCCTGGGAGCGATCCCACCCTGCTGGAGCTGACTCTGGCTCCTGGCACCGCAGCTGGATGTGCTGCTGGCTCTGTGGGGTGGCTGCCAAGGGGGTGGCACAGGGCCACCAGCTCCTGGGGTCTCACCCTAGGGCTGGCCCTGGCCGTGAGTGGCTCTGGGTCCATGGTGGCCCCTTTCTGTGGGACCAGAGTGACCCTGCTCCATTGCAGAGTGGGGTCCATGGTGGCCCCTTTCTGTGGGGCAGGAGTGACCCTGCTCCGTGGCTGAGTGGCACCAGGGGGTTCATGGAGTCCCCAGTTCTCCCTGCAGCCAAAGCTGGGCTCAGCTGGTGGAATTTGGCATTGCCGTGGGGCAGGAACATGTGGGGCAGCACCCAGGGGGCCCTCAGGACCCACAAATTTGGGGTCTCACCCCCCTTGGCAGCTCCTGGTCCTCTTGGGGGGACACTGGAGCGTGCTGGGGAGCTGCATGGCGAGGCACCACGGTTGCCATGGGGCACCAGCGCTGTCAGGGCCGTGGTGCGCTGGCATTGAGGCCACTCCCGCCCGGGCAGTGCCTGCCGTGCCACTGGGACACTCAGCTCCCCCCGGGACGGCTCCGCTGGCCCCGGTGCCGCCGGGCGGGGCGTGGGAACAGCCGGTGCCGCCGGGTCCGCGGGGGGAGCACGGGGAGCGTCCCCCCCGCAAGGGGCAAAGTGCGAGGGCGGTGCCGTGGGTGGGTGGGTGCCATCGGCATGTGCGGCGCTGCTGGGACGGGCCGGGTGGCGCCGGGCTGAGGGCAGGACGCGATGGCAGGACGAGGTGGTGGCACCGTGTCGTGGTGTCACGGGGGGGCCACGGTGGCAAGACACAGCAGGGCTGTGTGGCTGCACTCACCGCCCCCCTCTCCCTCTCCCTCCCCTCCTCAGCCCCGGGAGAAGGGCCGGATGCGCTTCCACAAGCTGCAGAATGTCCAGATTGCCCTCAACTACCTGAAGCACCGGCAGGTGAGGATGGGGAGGGACCCCCGGGATGCCCACAGCCCCCGGGGCTGTGCCATGCCAGGCTGTCCCGTGCCTGACCTGCGTGTGCCCTGTGCTGCAGGTGAAGCTGGTGAACATCCGCAACGATGACATCGCCGACGGCAACCCCAAACTGACGCTGGGGCTCATCTGGACCATCATCCTGCACTTCCAGGTGAGCCTGGCGGGGTGGGGATGGGACAGCGGGACCGAGGGCCAGGATTTGTGGGGCTGGGGGCCTCCCTGGTCCCCACTGGGGCAGGAGTGGTGTCACTGTGGCCATGCAGCGGGTGTCACCGTGCCAGTTCCCAGACTAACAGCTGTGTCCTGGCAGATCTCAGACATCCAGGTGACCGGGCAGTCGGAGGACATGACAGCCAAGGAGAAGCTGCTGCTGTGGTCCCAGCGGATGGTGGAGGATTACCAGGGCCTGCGCTGCGACAACTTCACCACCAGCTGGCGGGACGGGCGCCTCTTCAACGCCATCATCCACCGGCACAGGTGGGTGCCGTGGTGGTGCCTGAGATCCGTGTGTGTGACCCACACCACGGGCAGGCGTGGGCTCATGGGGCAGCCATGACAGCTGCTTATGGGGCAGCTGTGCTGCCTGTGATCCATGTGTGTGACCCACACCATGGGCTGGCCTGTGCTCATGGGGCAGCCGTGCCTGTGCTCATGGGGTGGCCCTGCCTGTGCTTATGGGGTGGCTCTGCCAGTCCTGTGCTCATGGGGCAGCCGTGCCTGTGCTCATGGGGTGGCTGTGCTGATCCGAAGTTCATGGGGCAGCCATACCTGTGCTTATGGGGCAGCCGTGCTGATCCGGTACTTATGGGGCAGCTCTGCCAATCCCATGCTCATGGGGCAGCTGTGCTGACCCTGTGCTTATGGGGTGGCTCTGCCAATCCCATGCTCATGGGGCAGCCCTGTTGATCCCATGTTCATGGGGCAGCCCTGCTGATCCTGTGCTCATGGGGCAGCTGTGCTGATCCAATTTGGGGCAATATGAGCACGTGCTCCTGACGAGTCCCAGCCCATCGGCCGTGCTGGTAGTGCCGTGCCTGCTGTTGGCGTGCTGGGGCGGTGGCAGGCAGGTCCCCACGGGTCCTGCTGGGACCTCTGCGTGCTTTTGGGGAGTGCAAATATGTGCAGGGCTGTGCCAGATGGGGGGAGGCCCCTGCACTGTGCCAGGTGCCAGCTGTGCTATGTGCCAGGTGTGCCATGAGCCAGCTGTGCCGTGCTCTGCACCACGGCACTGCCACATTGAGCTTGGCCCCACCATGGAGCCCGAAGGGGAGCCCAAGGTGCCAGCCCCACATGGCATTGGGGTGCCAGCCCCACACGGGACTGGGGTGTCAGCCCCACATGGCATTGGGGTGTCAGCCCCACACGGAATTGGGGTGTCAGCCCTATAGGGGATTGGGGTGTCAGCCCCACATGGAATTGGGGTGCCAGCCCCATGCAGGGCTGGGGTGCCCAGTTCCCAGGACATGGGGGCTCTGACTGTACTGGGGTCCCCACTGGGGGCTGTGTGTATCCCCAGCCCCCCCGTCCCTGTGCTGGCTCTGGGGGTTTCCCCTGCCGCTGGTGCCCCTGGTGTGGGGTGTGGGATGGTCGGGCAGGAGTACAGGCAGAGGAGGCAGCCCCAGAAAAGGCGGGACCTGCCCTCCTCGGGGTTTTGGGGTGCCCAGAGCCCCAGTGACCCCCGCTGCCCCCCACCCACAGGCCAATGCTGATCGACATGAGCCGGGTGTACCGCCAGAACAACCTGGAGAACCTGGACCAGGCCTTCACCGTGGCCGAGCGGGAACTGGGGGTGACGCGGCTGCTGGACCCCGAAGGTACGGGCTGGGGTGAGGGGTCTTGGGGGACAGGGGGTGGCTCCCGAGGGGATGATGATCCTGAAGGGTTGGGGAGCTCTGGGTGGGTCCCAAGGGGATGACGGTCCCAGTGTGCCAGGGGTCCCAGGGTGTCAGGGGTCTCGGGGATGTGAGGATGTGTCCCAAGGCGATGATGGTCCCAGGGTTCCGGGGGTCTTGGGGGATATGGGGTGGGTCCCAAGGGGATGGTGATCCTGCAGTGTTGGGGGGCTCTGGGTGGGTCCCAAGAGGATGATGGTCCCAGGGGCTGTGGGTCCCAAGGGGATGACAGTCCCAAGGTGCCGGGGGTCCCAGAGTCGCAGGGGTCTTGGGGGATATGGGGTCGATCCTGAGAGGATGATGGTCCCAGTGCTGTGGGTCCTGGGGTGTCAAAGCCCCTTCCCTCCCCTCACCTGACCCCTCTCTCCCCACAGACGTGGACGTGGCGCAGCCCGACGAGAAGTCCATCATCACCTACGTGTCCTCGCTGTACGACGCCATGCCGCGCGTGCCCGAGGTGCAGGACGGCGTCAAGGCCAACGTGAGTTTGGGGTGCCGGGGGTGTCACCCCTCTGCTGCCACCCCCTGGCGTGTCACAGCCGGCCCCACACATGTCCCCCTGCGCAGGAGCTGCAGCTGCGCTGGCAGGAGTACTACGAGGTGGTGACGGGGCTGCTGCAGTGGAGCCGGCAGCACTCGGCGCTCTTCGAGGAGCGGCGCCTCCCTGCCAGCTACGAGGAGATCGAGGTGAGGCCATGGGGGCAGGAGCAGGGCTGCTGGCCTGGCATGGGCACGGGGATGGGCACAGAGACAGGGACAGGGACAGTGCTGCTGGCCTGGCATGGTCATGGGGATGGAGACAGGGACAGGGACAGTGCTGCTGGCCTGGCATGGGCATGGGGATGGGGACAGAGACAGTGCTGCTGGCCTGGCATGGGCACAGGGATGGGCACAGGGACAGGGACAGGGATGGTGCTGCTGGTCTGGCATGGGCACAGGGATGGGCACAGAGACAGGGATGGGCACAGGGACAGGGATGGTGCTGCTGGCCTGGCATGAGCATGAGGATGGGCACAGAGACAGGGACGGTGCTGCTGGCCTGGCATGGGCACAGGGACAGGGACGATACTGCTGGCCTGGCATGGGCACGAGGATGGGCACAGAGACAGGGACAGTGCTGCTGGCCCGACATGGGGATGGGGATGGGGACAGAGACAGGGACAGTGCTGCTGGCCTGGCATGGGCACAGGGATGGGCACAGGGACAGGGATAGGGATGGTGCTGCTGGCCTGGCATGGGCACGGGGATGGGCACAGGGACAGTGCTGCTGGCCTGGCATGGGCACGGGGATGGGCACAGGGACAGGGACGGTGCTGCTGGCCTGGCATGGGCACAGGGATGGGCACAGGGACAGGGACGATGCTGCTGGCCTGGCATGGGCACGGGGATGGGCACAGAGACAGGGACGGTGCTGCTGGTCCCGGGAGCTACTGGTATTTGGGGCAGTGGGTGGCAGAATCCTACAGTGGCCCCGCCGTGGGTGGCTCATGCCCAGTGAGGGGTGCCAGCTGACCACAGCCCCACCATGAGTGGTTCATGCCCAGTGAGGGGTGCCAGCTGACCACAGCCCCACCATGAGTGGCTCATGTCCAGTTTGGCAGCTCCCACGGCAGCACAAGGCCAGCTGTGCCATGCCATGAGTCACCACGATGTGACCTGGGTGTGGCTGTGGCACGGAGCCCCCTCTGGTGCCAGCCTGGGGGTCTGCAGGGTTTGGGGATCCGAGCCCGGACAGAGCCGGGTGCCCCATGAAGGGGGGAGCCCTGTGACTCACCCTGCCTGGCTGTGCCGTGAGTCACCGCTGGCAAAGCCCAGCACGGCCACTTCCTTCCCGCGGCTCTGCACACATGGAAAATTGCAGCTGGGCAGGGCGGATGCTCGGGGAGGGGGCAGCAGCTGGGGCTGGGGGTCCCCGCTCAGCTGTGCCCCCCACCCCATCCCCGGCAGATCCTCTGGCGCCAGTTCCTCAAGTTCAAGGAGACGGAGCTGCCGGCTCGGGAGGCCGACAAGAACCGCTCCAAAGCCATCTTCCAGGCGCTGGAGGTACGGCCAAGGGCTGCGGCGGGTCTTGAGGGGGCTCTGGGGAGGCGGTCCTGGGTGCCCAGGGTCCCAAGGGGTGGGGGGCCTGAGGGGGACACCCTGGGGATCTCGGGTCCTGAGGGGTGGGGGTCCCAGTAGCTAGGGGTCTCCAGAAGCTGGGAATGTGGAGTCCAAAGGGAATGGTGGTCCTGAAGGTTTGGGGGGCTCTGGGTGGGTCCCAAGGGGATGACAGTCCCAGATTTCCAGGGGTCCCGGGATGTCAGGGGTCTTGGGATTTATGGGGTGGGTCCCAAGGGGATGACAGTCTCGGGGTCCTGGTGGTCCCAAGGTGTCAGGGGTCTTGGGGAATGTGGGGTGGGTCCCAAGGGGATGACAGTCCCGGGATGTCAGGGGTCTCGGGGTGGGTCCCAAGGGGATGACAGTCTCGGGGTCCCGGGGTGTCAGGGGTCTCGGGGGCTCTGGGTGTGTCCCAAGGGGTCACAGTCCCGGGGTTCCGGGGGTCCCCGGCAGTGCCCGGGCCGTGTGTGACACTCGGGCCGTGCAGGGCGCAGTGCAGTCGGGCCAGCTGAAGGTGCCCCCCGGGTACCACCCCCTGGACGTGGAGAAGGAGTGGGGGCGGCTGCACGTGGCCGTGCTGGAGCGGGAGAAGCTGCTGCGGGCTGAGTTTGAGAGGCGAGTTCGGGGGGGCCGGGGGGCCGGGCAGGGCCGCGCTGGCATCCACAACCCCCTGCCGCTGCCAAACCGCGGGGCTGGGCCCGGGTGGGGTGTCCCGGCCCCCCCGAGGGGGAACCGCAGGGCTGTGAGTCACCGTTCCTGCTGGGAAACCTCTGCGGCCGGCCTGGAGCGCGGCTCGGCACGGCACGGCACGGCAGCGGAGGGATGGGGGCAGCAGCGGGGACAGAGGGGATGGGGCTGAGGGGGATTGGGGTGGGATGGGATGGGATGGGATGGGATGGGATGGGGGGCAGGATGGGGGATTGAAATGAGATGGGATGAGGGGGATTGGTACTGAAGTTGGAAGTGGGATGGGAATAGGGATGGGAAAAGGAAGATGGGAATGTGGGGCATTGGGGTTGAGGTTGGAAGTGGGATGGGAATGGGGATGGGAAAAGGAAGATGGGGATGGGGGGGATTAGGGTTGAGGTTGGAAGTGGAATGGGGATGGGAAGATGGGGATATGGGGGGATTGGGAGCGGGATGGGGAGCAGGATAGCAAGATGCAGCATGGACCCATGCCATGCACAGCCAGCACAGCTGCCCCTGGGCAGGACTCGATCCGTGCTGACCGTGTCCCTCTGTGCGTCCCCGCAGGCTGGAGCGGCTGCAGCGCGTGGTCACCAAGCTGCAGATGGAGTCGGGGCTCTGTGAGGAGCAGCTGAACCAGGCGGATGCTCTGCTGCAGGCGGTGAGTGCCGGCGGCCCCGGGGCGGGGGGACAGCCCCGGCCGTGCCCTCCCCGTGGTGGCCTCACGGTCCCTGCCCCTCCCGCAGGACGTGCGGCTGCTGGCGGCCGGGAAGGCGCCGCAGAAGGCGGCAGAGGTGGAGAGGGACCTGGACAAGGCGGATGCCATGATCCGGCTGCTCTTCAACGACGTGCAGACCCTCAAGGACGGGCGGCACCCGCAGGGCGAGCAGATGTACCGTCGGTACGGGCTCGTCCCCGTGGCCCTGTGACCCCGCAGCCCTCCTTGTCCTTCCTGCCCCACAAAGCCTTTCGTGTCTCCTGTGTCCCCCATGTCCCCTGTGTCCTCCATGCCACCCATGCCCCCCATGTGTTCCATACTCCTTGCACCCCAGCCACACCTATGACCCCAAACACCCTGCATAGCTTCCTGTGACCCCCATGCCCCCCATGATCCCTGCACCCCCAGCCACCCCTGTGACCCCCAAAACCCTGCAAAGCTATCTGTGACCCCCCTGACCACCATGTCCCCCATGTCCCCTGTACCCTTCAAAGCCCCCCATACTCTCTCCAAAAGCCCCCTGTGACCCCTGTGCACCCCAAAGCCTCTCGTACTGCCTATGTTCCCTGTACCCCTTACAACCCCTGTGCACCCTAAAACTCCTCATGCCCCCAAACTCCTCATGTTTGCTGCACCCCCTTAAAATCCCTGTGCACCCCAAGGCTCCTCATGCCCCCAAAGCCTCTCGTGTCCCCAAACTCTTCATGTTCCCTCTACCCCCTTACAACCCCTGTGCACCCCAAATCTGCCCATGCCCCCAAAGCCTCTCATGTCCTCAAACTCCCCATGTTTGCTGTACACCCCTTAAAACTCCTGTGTACCCCAAAGCTCCCCATGCTCTAAAACTCCTCATGTTTGCTGTACCCCCCTGCAATCCCAGTGCACCTCAAATTCCTCATGTTCCCTGCACCCCCTTACAACCCCTGTGCACCCCAAACCCTTTTGTGTCCCTAAACTCCCCATGTTTGCTGCACCCCTTTACAACCCCTGTGCACCCCAAATCTCCTCATGCCCCCAAATCCTCTCATATCCCCAAACTCCCCATGTTCCCTGCACCCCCCTGCAGCCCCTGTGCACCCTAAAACTCCTCATGCCCCCAAACTTCCCACGTTTGCTGTACCCCCTTAAAATTCCTGTGCACCCCAAGGCTCCTCATGCCCCAAACCCTCTTGTGTCCCCAAATTCCCCATGTCCCCTGTACCCCTCAAAGCCCCCCATACTCTCTGCTACCCTTGCACCCCCAAAACCGTCTCATATCCCCAAACTCCCTGTGTACACTGCACCCCCTTTACAACCCCTGTGCACCGTAAAGCCTTTTGTGTCCCCAAACTCCCCATGCTCCCTGCACCCCCTTAAAACCCCCTTACACCCCAAAGCTCCTCATCCCCCCAAAGCCTCTGATATCCCCAAACTCCCCATGTTCCCTGTACCCCCTTACAACCCCTGTGCACCCCAAAGCTCCTCATGCCCCTGACCTCCTCATGTTTGCTGCACCCCATTCCAACCCCTGTGCACCCCAAACTCCCCATGTTCACTGCACCCCCTCAACACCCCCGTGCACCCCAATCTCCCCCTGCCCCCCGAGGCCCCCACGGCCCCCATGCCCCACCAACGCCTCCCTCCCCCCAGCGTGTACCGCCTGCACGAGCGCCTGGTGTCCATCCGCACCGAGTACAACCTGCGGCTCAAGTCGGGGGCGCCGGTGACAGCGGTGACATCCGTGGCGGTGACGGCGGCGCAGCAGCAGCGGCGGCCGGAGCCCGACGATGCTCCCCTGCGATACCTGCAGGAGCTGCTGGCCTGGGTGGAGGAGAACCAGCGGCGGGTGGCCACGGCCGAGTGGGGCGCCGACCTGCCCACTGTGGAGACGCACCTGGGCGCCCACCGCGGGCTGCACCGCGCCATCGAGGAGTTCCGCGCCAAGGTGGAGCGGGCACGGGCTGATGAGGTGAGACCCGGGGTGCTGGGGGACCTGGGGGTGACAGGGTGAGACCCCTGGGTGCTGGGGGGGGACAGGGTGAGACCCTGCAGGGTGCTGGGGACCTGGGAGTGACAGGGTGAGACCTCTGGGTGCTGGGGGCCTCCTAGTCCTGGGGGTGACAGGGTGAGACCCTGCAGGGTGCTGGGGACACCCTGCTGTTGGGGGTGACAGTGTGAGACCCCTGGGTGCTGGGGACCTCCTAGTCCTGGGGGTGACAGTGTGAGACCCTGCAGGGTGCTGGGGACACCCTGGTTTTGGGGGTGACAGGGTGAGACCCCTGGGTGCTGGGGACACCCTGGTTCTGGAGGTGACAGGGTGAGACCCCTGGGTGCTGGGGACACCCTGGTTTTGGGGGTGACAGGGTGAGACCCCCGGATGCTGGGGACCCCCTGGTTTTGGGGGTGACAGGGTGAAACCCTGCAGGTTGTTGGGGATCTCCAGGTCCTGGGGGTCCTCTGGGGCTGTCCTCGCTCTGCCTCACGGGGTCCCCCCAGTGCTGTTGTCCCCTCCCCTGCTCCTGAGCATTTCCTGGGGCTGCCTTTGCTCTGTGCCTCGGGGTCCCTGAAGCTCTGGAACCCCCCAGGGCCCGGGGTACCCCAGGAGTGTGGTGGGCACCATGCCCAAGGGCATCCCCCAGCCCCTGCACCCCTGGTGCCCTGCCCTCCCCTCGAGTCCCCTCTGTCACTCCCCTTTGTGGGGTGCAGGGGGTGTCTGGGGTGGGGGTCCTGAGCTGATGGTGTCCCCTGCAGAGCCAGCTGTCCCCCGGCCCCAGCAGCGCCTACCGGGAGTGCCTGGGCAAGCTGGAGCTGCAGTACGCCAAGCTGCTGGTGAGCCCCGAGGGGTGCAGGGGCATGGGGGCGTGTGGGGCCTGGGGGGTCATGGGGGTGTGTGACATGAGGGGACAATGCTGGGGACATGTGGCGGGGAGGGTCATGGAGGGTGTGTGACATGGGGGGACAATGCTGGGGGCTCAGGGGGGTATGTGACATGGGGGAACAATGCTGGGGATGTGTGGCCCGGGGGGTCATGGGGGTATGTGACATGAGGGGACAATGCTGGAGGATCAGGGGGGTGTGTGACATGGGGGGACCTGCTGGGGACGTGTGGCCTGGGGGGGTCATGGGGGGTGTGTGACATGAGAGGACCTGCTGGGGGATCAGGGGGTGTGTGTGACATAGGGGATCAGGGGGGTGTGTGGCCTGGGGGGTCATGGGCGAGTGTATGGCCTGGGGGGTTAGGGGGTGGTGGCAGATATGGGAGGACCTGCTGGGGAGGGGATGTGAGCCATGAGGGAGTGACAAGGTGAGACCCCTGGCCCTGCTGGTGGGGTGTGAGATGGAGGGGGGACCTGGCAGGGGAGTGTGACCTGATGGAGGAGAGTGTGACAGGAGGGGGGACAATGGTGGGGGTGTTGTGCTGGGCATGATTGTGGAGAGGAAGATGCAGGACATGGGAGGAAGTCGGGAGGAGGATGAGGGAAGACAGAGGGTGAGCAGGGGGCAGCCCTGTGGGGTGAGGCCATGCAGGGTGAGGATGCAGCTGCAAACCTCCCCCTGTGCCCCCCAGAACTCCTCCAAGTCGCGGCTGCGGCACCTGGAGAGCCTCCACGGCTTCGTCAGCGCCGCCACCAAGGAGCTGCTGTGGCTGAGCGAGCGCGAGGAGGAGGAGGTGGCCTTCGACTGGAGCCACAACAACCCTGCCATGGCGGCCAAGAAGGAGAGTTACTCGGTACGGGCACGGCGGGTGACAGCTGGGCATGGGCATGGGGATGGGCGCTGACACAGGGATGGGCATGGACACAAACATGGGTACAGGCATGGGCATGGACATGGGCACAGGGATGGGCACAGACATGGACATTGGCATGGACACAACGTGGACATGGGAATGGGCACAGACAAAAACATGGGCACAGTGATGGGCACAGACACAGGCAAGGACACAGAGATGGACATGGAGAGGACATGGGCACAGAGATGGGCACGGACACAACATGGGGATGGGCATGGACACCAGGATGGACATAGGGATAGGCACGGATATGGGTATGGACACAGGGATGGACAAGGACATGGACATGGGGATAGGCATGGACACAGACACAGGGATGGGCATGGACACGGACATGGGCATGGACACAGGGATGGACATGAGGATGGGCACAGGCACAGGGATTGGCATGGGCATGGGCATGGACAGAGACATGGGGATGGGCGTGGACACAGGCGCAGGAATGGACACAGACATGGGGATGGGCATGGACACTACATGGGTACAGGGATGGGCACGGACACGGGGATGAGCATGGACATGACATGGACACGGACATGACATGGGCACAGGGATGGGCTTGGACACGGATGCAGGGATGGGCATGGACACAACATGGACATGCATGTGGGCAGACAAGCATGGAGGGCACAGCTGCTCCACGTGGACACACCCATGGACACACACACACACACACACGTGTGCCATCCCCACACACAGACACGCACATGGCTGTGTCCCGTGGTCCCCTCCCTGCTCTGCAGCACTGAGCCCCTGTGTGCCCCCCACACCCAGAACCCCCAGAACCCTCTGAGCGCCCCCAGAGCCCCCCTTGCACACACAGCCCCAGCTGTAACCATACACACAGAGCTGTGCACACGTGTGTGAGCCCTGCCCCCATGGCCCCCTGCCCCCCAGCCCTGCACACAAGTACCAGCCCTGACCCAACCCCTGGCCGTGCACACGAGTGTGAGCCCTGACCCAACCCCCTGGCTGTGCACACGTGTGTGAGCCCTGCCCTCCGGCTGTGCACACGTGTGTGAGCCCTGCCCCCTGGCCGTGCAAACGAGAGTGACCCTGTCCCCGCCGCAGGCGCTGATGCGGGAGCTGGAGCTGCGGGAGCGGCGGATCCAGGAGCTGCGGACCTCGGGGGAGCGGCTGCTGCGGGAGGAGCACCCTGGGGCACAGACCCTGGAGGTGGGCGTGGGGCTGGGGGCGAATGGGGGCGCTGAGGGGCAGTAGGGGCTGAGGGCAAATGCGGGGCGTGAGAGGGGCTGGGGGCAAATGGGGGGTGTGAGAGGGGCTGGGGGTGAATGCTGGGCATGAGAGGGGCTGGGAGCAAATGGTGGGGCATGAGAGGGGCTGGGGGGCGTGGGGCTGGGGGCAAATGGTGGGGTACAGTGGTCACTGGGGGTCAGCAGTGTGGGGTGCAGTGGTGACTGGGAGTCCCTGGTGTGGGGTGCAACAGGTACTGGGGGTCGCTGGTGTGGGTTGCAGTGGTCACTCAGGGTCACTGGTGTGGCTGCCTGTAGCAGTGCGGGTGCAAGTGTGGCTGCGGGTCAAGTGTGGGTGCAGGTGTGGGTGCAGTTCAGGTGAGGCTACAGCTGTGGATGCAGGTCAGGTGTGGGTGCAGGTGTGGCTGCAGGTCAGGTGAGGGTGCCAGCCCCCCGTAGCGGTGCAGGTGCCCTCGGTGCCAGCCCCGGTGTCCCCCCTGCTCCCCCCAGGCGTTCCTGGCGGCGCTGCAGACCCAGTGGAGCTGGATGCTCCAGCTCTGCTGCTGCATCGAGACCCACCTGAAGGAGAACACCAACTACTTCCAGGTACCGGGGATGCCAGGGCGGGGCTGGGAGTGGGAGGGAAGGCGTGACCCCCAATTCTGACCCCTGGCCCCCCCAGTTCTTCGCCGAGGTGCGGGAGGCTGAGGAGCTGCTGCGCAAGACGGAGGAGACGATGCGGCGCAAGTTCAGCTGCGACCGCGGCACCACGGCCACGCGCCTCGAGGACCTGCTGCAGGACCTGGCGGTGAGGGCACCCCCGAGGTCCCGGGGGACCCCCAGACTCCGGCGAGACCCCCATAGAGACCCCCAGACCCGGGGGGGACCCCAAGGATGACCCTCCCCAGATCTGCAGGGTGACCCTGCTGCATGACCTGTATTGAGGGCAGGTGGGAGCCCAGGGGGCTACCGAAGTGGAGCCCCCCAAGATCCTCAGGGTGACAGCCCCAGGGTGACCCCAGCCCCATGGCAGCCCCAGGCTGACCCCACGTGCAGGGTGACCCCAGCCCCTGGCGACTCTGAGGTGGCAGCCCCCAAAATCAGAGCCCCCAGCAGCCCCTGGGGTGTCCAGCTGCAGAGTGCTGGGGTGTGACCGTATTCACAGGGGTCTGAGGGTGAGGGAAGAGATGAGGATCTGACTCCATGTTTCAGAAGGCTGATTTATTATTTTATGATATGTATTACATTAAAACTATACTAAAAGAATAGAAGAAAGGATTTCCTCAGAAGGCTAGCTAAGAATAGAATAGGAAAGAATGATAGCAAAGGTTTGTGGCTTGACTCTCTGTCCAAGCCGGCTCACCGTGATTGGCCATTAATTAGAACCAACCAACAAGGGCCAATGAAAGATCTACCTGCTGCATTCCACAGCAGCAGATAATCATTGTTTACATTTTGTTCCTGAGGCCTCTTAGCTTCTCAGGAGGAAAAATCCTAAGAAAAGGATTTTTCATAAAAGTTGTCTGTGACACTGGGGTGCCCACCCCACTGCAGCCCCTGGGGTGACCCCAACACATCCATTGCTGCAACAGACTGGGGTGACCCCCCCCGCCTCATATTTTTAACCCCTCCCCAAACTCCCAGAACACCCCCAAAATCCCAAGAGCTCCCAGAACCTTTGGGACCTCCTGATATTTCTGAGCTCTCTCAAAAAAACTGGTACCTCCCTAAAGTTCTGATGCCCCTCCACACCATGGGGCACCCCAAATCCTGAGGTGTCCCAAACGTGCCCCACAGGAGCAGAAGGAGCAGCTGGCGGAGCTGGGGGCGCAGCTGGGGGCTCTGTCCCGCCGTGCCAGGACCATCGTGCAGCTGAAGCCACGCAGCCCCTCGACGCCTCTGCAGGGCCGGCCCCCCATCCAGGCCGTGTGCGACTACAAGCAAATGGAGGTGAGGGGGACACGGGGCTGGGACTGGGGTTGGTCCCCCTGGGGAGGATGTGGGGCAATGGGGGGGGTGTGGTGGGTCCAGCACCCTGCTCTGATGCTGCCCCAGCCCCATGGGGGGGACACAGGAGAACCCTCCTGTCTGGTCTGAGGGGGACCCTGGGGGGACAAGGGAACACACTGGGGACCTGCCACCCTTCTCTCACACTGCCCCAGCCCCATGGGGGGACACAGGAGGACCCCCCAGTCTGGTCTGACACCACCCTGAGGGACAAGGGGACACATAGAGGACCTTCCACCCTTCTCTCATGCTGCCCCAGCCCCATGAGGGGACACAATGGGGAACACAAGGGGCCCCCCACCCAGACTGAGACCACACCAGGCCCATGGGGGAATGTAGGGGGACACTGGGGAATATCGGGGGGACACTGGGGAATATGGGGGTGCACTGGGGAATATGGGGGGACACTGGGGAATATGGGGGTGCACTGGGGAATATCAAGGGGTACACTGGGGAATATGGGGGGACACTGGGGAATATCAGGGGGCACACTGGGGAATATGGGGGGACACTGGGGAAAATGGGGAGGGGACACTGGGGAATATCAGAGGGACATTGGGGAATGTGAGGGGACACTGGGGAATATGGGGGGACACTAGGGAATATCAGAGGACACTGGGGAATATGGGGGGACACTGGGGAATATGGGGGCGCACTGGGGAATATCAGGGGGCACACTGGGGAATATGGGGCGACACTGGGGAATATTGGGAGGACATTGGGGAATATGGGGGCACACTGCAGAATATGGGGGCACGCTGGGGACTATGGGAGAGGCACAGATGGACACAAGGGCCGCACCCCACCCTGTCCCCCTGCCCCGCAGGTGACCGTGCACAAGAACGACACCTGTGCCCTGGTGAACCACGCGCAGCCGCAGCAGTGGCGGGTGCTGAGCGCCGCTGGCAGCGAGGCCGTGGTCCCCTCGGTCTGCTTCCTCCTGCCACCCCCCAACAAGGAGGCTCTGGACGCCGTGCACAGGTGGGGACGGTGACCCTGCACCCCCCCAGGTGTCCCCGCTGTGTGCCCCTCTCTAACTCCACATCCCCACAGGCTGGAGGCCACCCACCAGCAGCTGCTGGGGCTGTGGCAGCAGCTGCACCAGGACCTGCGCAGCCTCCGCGCCTGGCAGTACCTGATGCGGGACATCCAGCAGATCCACTCCTGGACGCAGGTCACGGTGAGTTCCCGGGGGTCTCGGAGCCCCACGGGGGTCCCGGGGGTCCCAGCAGGGGCTGAGGTGGCCGTGTCCCCCCCAGTTCCGTACGCTGCCGGCTGAGGAGGTGCGCCAGGTGCTGTCCAGCCTGGAGAGGCACTACCAGGAGTTCCTGCGGGACAGCCAGGACTCGCAGAGCTTCCAGCCCGACGACCGGCTGCAGGTGGAGCGCGACTACAACGCCTGCACGCACAAGTACGAGCTGCTGCTGCGGAGCCAGGAGAAAGGTGGGTGTGCCCTCTCTGCCCCTCTGAACAATGGGGGTGCCCAGGGTTTCCCCGGCTCCTTGGGGTGACCTGCAGGTCCTTGTGGTGTCCCTGGGGTGACCTGCAGGTCCTTGTGGTGTCCCTGGGGTATTGCCATGGTGCTGAGCTGTCCCAGTCTCCCCCGTCCTCACGTTGTCTGTGGGGTGTCCCCAGGGTGCTGAGCCATCCCTGCGTCTTCCCTTCCCTCCATGGGTCCCCAGGGTGTCCCCACAGTCGGAGCCATCCGTGTGTCCCCTCTCCCTGCTGTGGGTCCCCAGAGTGTCCCCAGGGTGCTCAGCCGTCCCTCCATCCCCCCTTCCTACCATAGGTCCCCATGTTGTCCCCTCAGTCTGAGCCATCCCCAAGTCTCCTCTCCCTACCATGGGTCCCCAGGGTGTCCCCATGTGCTGAGCCATCCTGGTGTCACTGCAGGTCCCCGCGGTGTCCCCATGGTGTCCCAGGGCACTGAGCCATCCCTGTGTCACTGTCGGTCCCCGCGGTGTCCCCGCGGTGTCCCAGGTCACTGAACCATCCCCACTGTCCCCACAGGAGAGCAGGACGAGTCTCTGTGCAAGAGCTACATCTCGCAGCTGAAGGACATCCGGCTGCAGCTGGAGAGCTGCGAGAGCCGCACTGTGCACCGCCTGCGCCTGCCCCTCAAGGCCGACCCCCTGCGCGAGTGCGCCCAGCGCCAGGCGGAGCAGCAGGTGTGGGACACGTGTGGGACATGTGTGGGAACCTGGGGAACTGCCCCAGTGCATCCCCCACGTGTGGGAGCCCAGGGGGAACTGCCCCAGTGCATCCCCCACGTGTGGGAGCCCAGGGGGAACTGCCCCAGTGCATCCCCCACATGTGGGAACCCAGGGGAACTGCCCCAGTGCATCCTCCACATGTGGGAGCCCAGGAACTGCCCCAGTGCATGCCCCACATGTGGGTGCCCAGGAGCTGCCCCAGTGCATCCCCCACGTGTGGGAGCCTGGGGAATTGCCCCAGTGCATCCCCAATGTTTGGGAACCAGGGGGAACTGCCCCAGTGCATCCCCAATGTGTGGGAGCCCAGGGGGAACTGCCCCAGTGCATCCCCCACGTGTGGGAGCCTCTGGAACTGCCCCAGTGCATCCCCCTAAGATCCTCAGGCTGACACCTCCAGGGTGACCCCAGGGTGACCCCAGCCCTGTGTCACACAAGTGATGCACGTAGTGTGCACAGATGGGGACCAAGATGGCCATAAGGGAATGGTTTGGGTTGGAAAAGCCCTCAGAGCCCATTGAGTCCACCCAAGGCCACCCGTGAGCATGTCCCCAAGTGATCCACATGGCTGTAAAGTCTCCCCAGCGGTGGGACTCCAGCCCTGCCCTGGGCAGCTGTGGCAGGGCTGGAGAGCCCCTCCAGGAGGAGTTTTCCCCATATCCCTCTCCTGTCACCTGCACCAATGGTCTGCAGACCCTTCCCCTGCTGTGCTCCTCCTGGGATCCAAGAGGACGGGAGCATTCAGTCAGGGTTGGGACTGAGGGACTCTTTCTCTGCAGCAAACACACCTGGAGCTGGAGGGCATCCAGAAGAACCTGGCCAAGGTCAGCGAGAAGACGGAGCAGGTGCTGGCACAGCCGGAGCAGGCGGGCTCGGCCCCCGTGCTGCGCTCCGAGCTGGAGGTCACACTGCGCAAGATGGAGCAGGTCTACAGCCTGTCCAGCATCTACCTGGAGAAGTGAGTCAGCCCTGGCACCTGGAAACGAGCCTGGGCACCTGGGAGGCCGTGGGGAGTCTGGGGAGAGCCAGCATGCTTTTCCCTTTCTTTTCCTTCCCTCTCCTCTTCTTCCTTTTGCCTTTTTTTCTCTTGTTTCTCTTTTGCCTTTTTTCTCTTTTCCTTTTTTTCCCTTTTCCCCCTTTTTCCTTTTTTTTCTTTTTTCCCTTTTTTTTCCTTTTTCCTTTTTTTTTCTTTTTTCCCTTTTCCCCTATTTTTCCCTTTGCTGCTTTTTTCCCTTTCCCCCTTTTTTCCTGCTCTCTTTTATTTTCTTTTCCCCTTTTCTTCCAATTTCCCCTTTTCCCCTTTTTCCCTTTTTTCCTTTTCCCTTTTCTTTCCTTTTCCTCTTTTTTTTTCCTCCTTTTCCCCGTTTTCCCCTTTTTCCCCTTTTTTTGTTTTCCCCTTTTTTTTCCTTTTTCCTTTTTTCCCTTTCCCCCTTTTCCCCCTTTTCCCCCTTTTCCCCCTTTTCCCCTTTTTCCCCTTTTTTCCATTTTTCCCCTTTTCCCCTTTTTCCCTTTTATTCTTTTCCCCCTTTTTCCCCTTTCCCCCATTTTTTTCATTTTCCCCTTTTGCCCCCTTTTGCCCCCTTTTCCTTTTCTCCTTTTATGGTTTCCCCTTTTTTCTTTTCCTCTTTTTTTTCCTTTTCCCCACTTCCCCTTTTCCCCCCTTTCTCACTTTTTTCCCTTTTCCCTTTTTCCCCCTTTTTTTCCTTTTCCCCTTTTTCTTCTTTCCCCCTTTTTTCCTTTTCCCCTTTTCCTTCCCTCCTGGGTCTGCAGTGCTGCTCTTCCTGGGCTGCCCGCTCCCATCCTGATCCCAGCTGATCCATCCCACTCCCATCCTGCTCCTGGCTGATCCCAATCTCGCTCCTGGCTGCTCCCACTGATTCCACCCCTATGCCGCAGGCTGAAGACCATCGGGCTGGTGATCCGGAGCACGCAGGGAGCTGAGGAGCTGCTCCGCAAGTATGAGGAGCAGCTGAAGGACGTGCAGGCAGTGCCGGCCGACCTGGCTGAGCTGGAGGCCAGCAAGGCTGAGCTTAAGGTACCAAGGACTCTGAGGGTGCCGAGGGGACCCGGGGGGTGCCTTGGGGACACCGCAGCCGGCCCTGACCACTGCCCATCTGCCACAGCGGCTGCGGGCACAGGCCGAGGGGCACCAGCCCTTCTTCAGCACGCTGGAGACCGACCTGGGCAAGGCCAAGGACGTCAACGAGCGCATGGTGCGCGGGCACAGCGAGCGCGACGTGGACCTGGAGCGGTACCGGGAGCGGGTGCAGCAGCTGCTGGAGCGCTGGCAGGCCGTGCTGGGCCAGGCCGACCTGCGGCAGCGCGAGCTGGACCAGCTGGGCCGCCAGCTGGGCTACTACCGGCAGAGCTGCGACGCGCTGCGCCAGTGGATCCGCGACGCCCGGCAGCGCCAGGAGGCCATCCAGGCCGTGCCCATCACTGACAGCCAGGCCGTGCGCGAGCAGCTGCTGCAAGAGAAGGTAGGGCTGCCCATGGGGTAAGGTTGGGCTGGCCTAGGGGGCAAGGTAGGGCTGGCCATGGGGCAGGATAGGGCTGGCCATGGGGCAAGGCAGGCCTGGCCATGGGGCAAGGTAGGGCTGGTCATGGGGGAAGGTAGGGCTGGCCATGGGGGCAAGGTAGGGCTGGCTGTGGGGCAAAGTAAGGCTGGTTGTGGGGTAAGGTGGGGCTGGCCATGGGGCAAGGGGTGCTTCTGGGCATTCCCAATGGGGAGAGGAGTGTGCCTAGCCATCCCCAGTGGTGCAAGGGGTACTCCTGGGCATCCCCAGCAGGTTGAGGGGTGTGCCTGGCCATCCCCAGCAGGGTGAGGCGTGCTCCTGGCCATCCCTAGAAGGGTGATGGGTGTTCCTGGCCATCCCCAGCAGGGTGAGGGGTGTGCCGGGCCATCCCCAGCAGGGTGAGGGGTGTGCCAGGCCATCCCTAATGGGGCAAGGGGTGCCCCTGGCCATCCCTAATGGGGCAAGGGGTGCCCCTGGCCATTCCCAATGGAGCAAGGGGTGCTCCTGGCCATCCCCAGCAGGGTGAGGGGTGTGCCTGGCCATCCCCAGCAGGATGAGGGTTGTGCCTGGCCATCCTCAATGGGGCGAGGGGTGCTCCTGGGCATTCCTCAGCAGGATGAGGTGATCTCAGCTATCCCTGGCCGTGGTGTTGCAAGGGATTCCCCTGGCCTTCCCCCGCAGAGTGCAGATCTGCCTATCTCTCTCTGTGGCACAGGAGGGGAGTGCCTGGCTGTCTTCAGCTATGGCACTTTGAGTGTTGCTCTTGGGTGGATGCAGCATGAGGGGAACCATCCCTGGCCATGGCACATGGTGGGTGCTCTCAGCCATCCCCAGTAGGATGGGGGTTGCTCCTGACCCTTTTGGCTGCAGCAGGGTGAGGGATGCTCCTGACGATTCCCAGCCATGGCAGGGCAAGGGGTGCTCTTGGCCATCCCTGGCCATGGTGGGGTGAGGTGTGCTTTTGTGTGGCCACGGGGTGCCCGGGCTCACCCCCACATGTCTCCCCAGAAACTGCTGGAGGAGTGTGAACAGCACAAGGAGAAGGTGGAGGAGTGCCAGCGCTATGCCAAGCAGTACATTGACGCCATCAAGGTGGGCCTGGGGAGGCAGCACCGTGTCCTGCAGGGGGTGGGCTCAGGGCTGGCAGAGCTTTGATCACTCTCTCCTCATCAGGACTACGAGCTGCAGCTGGTGAGCTTCAAGGCACAGGTGGAGCCAGTGGCATCGCCGGCCAAGAAGCCCAAAGTGCAGTCGGCATCTGACAGCATCATCCAGGAGGTGAGGAGGGGTCTCACTGCCACTGGCTGGGGGTGCCCTGCAGCTCCTGGGGCGTGGCTGCTCACTGAAGGGGTGGATTTGGGACTGTGGCACGTGGTCGTGCAGCCCCATCATTGCTGGGGTACTGGTGGGTAAGCTCCCCTCTCTCGTGCTGACCCCCTGTCTCCACAGTACGTGGACCTGCGGACGCAGTACAGTGAGCTGACCACGCTCACCACCCAGTACATCAAGTTCATCACCGAGACACTGCGGCGGCTGGAGGACGAGGAGGTAGGGAGTGGTGCAGGGCAGCATGGCCAGCTGTGTGACCAAAAGGAGCGCAGTTCACAGGGTCCCTGGCCCCATCACTAACACCAGCCCACGGCCATGACTCCAGCCCTTTCACTGGTGGTAGCTCATGTCCATGACTCTGGCCCCACCACTAATGCCAGCCCATGGCTGTGACTCCAGCCCCATCACTAACACTGGCCCATGGCTGTGATTCCAGCCCTGGCCCCATCACTAACAGCAGCCCATGGCTGTGACTCCAGCCCTGGCCCCATCACTAATATTGGCCCATTGCTGTGTTCCAGCCCTCACCCCACCACTAATGCCAGCCTATGGCCGTGACTCCAGCCCCAGCCCCATCACTAACAGCGGCCCATGGCTGTGGCTCCAGACCCATGACTAACACTGGCCCATGGCCATGACTCCGGCCCTATCACTAACACTGGCCCATGGCCATGACTCCGGCCCTATCACTAATACTGGCCCAAGGCCTCTAACTCCTGCTCCCTGCTGGGCTCCTGGGAGCAAGGCTGCTGGCTCTGCGTACAGGGGGTCTCCGAGCCAAGCTGGCTCTGGGCACTGGGGGCTCTGGTGTGACTGGTGGTAGGAGGCACTTCCCAGATACACGTAGTGCAGTCAGCACCTGCCTGCGCATGCTGCTGTGCTGGGCGCTGGCCCGCGGGGTCTGGCGCGGGGTAACCTCTCTAACTCTTGGTTTCTGCCCTTGGAGCCGCTTTGCCAGTGCTTTTTCTTGGGGAATATTTGTGTTGGTGGGGATCTAATGGAGGGTAAAAAACCAGGATGACTCTGGCAGCCGTGCACCAGGTACTCACTCTGCGCATGCCCTCTCCCCGCGGCACCCTCCACCTGCCCCATGGCTCACCCTCTCCTCCTCGCCCTCCTCTACGTCTGTGCTGCTCTGGGACCAGGGGCCTGGTGTGGGGTCTGGCTCCCCTGCATGTGTTGCCTGTGCCTGGGCCCTGCGGAGCGTGCGGCTGCCTCACTCACGGTGCATGTGGTGCGCCAGCTGCGTTGGCCCTTTGGCAGACCCTGCTCCTAGTTGCCTGGAGAGGGCTGGGAGGGATTTGAACCAGCTGAACCACTCTCTCCTGTTGAGGCTTTCCCGGCAGGGAAGGCTCTGCTGGCACGGCCCTCGCAGCACTCTCCTCTCTTCTGCTCCCGGTGTTCCGGCCGTCTCTCTCCTTTCCCCACAGCAGGGGCTGTCTGTGCCAGCCCCCTCGCAGGGGGAGCCAGGGTGATGATGTGCACGCTGCTCGCATCGTCTTCATCGCTTGGGCTCCGCTCGCTCTCTATCCCTTCTCTCTGGAGCGTGGCTTCCTGCGCTGCTGTCTGGCTCCTGTTGCCTGTCTGCCTGTGCTGTCATGTGTCCCCTGTCGTGCCACACATCTTCTGGAAGCTGGCGTCACCGGCTCGTGCGGTGGCCCAGGGGCCGAAGCCATTCCACGCGCATCTGCCACCCCTCCGCTGTCTCGGCAGTGTGCGGCTGGGCCAGCATCGATTCCACGGCGCGATCGCATCCCTTGTGATTTGTCTCTCTCTCCCTTCTCTGTCCCCTGCACCCTCTTTCCCCTCCAGAAAGCCGCCGAGAAGCTGAAAGAGGAGGAGAGGAAGCGGCTGGCGGAGGTGGAGGCGCAGCTGGAGAAGCAGCGGCAGCTGGCCGAGGCCCACGCCAAAGCCAAGGCACAGGCGGAGGCGGAGGCACGGGAGCTGCAGCTCCGCATGCAGGAGGAGGTCACCCGGCGGGAGGTGGTGGCCGTGGATGCCGAGCAGCAGAAGCAGAACATCCAGCAGGAGCTGATGCAGCTGCGGCAGAACTCGGACCACCAGATCAAGTCCAAGGTGAAGCTGATCGAGGAGGCTGAATACAACCGCAAGAAGGTGGAGGAGGAGATCCGCCTCATCCGCCTGCAGCTGGAGAGCACCGAGAAGCAGCGGGAGAGCGCAGAGACAGAGCTGCAGGAGCTGCGGGCACGTGCTGAAGATGCCGAGCGGCAGAAGCGGCAGGCGCAGGAGGAGGCCGAGCGCCTGCGCCGGCAGGTGAAGGAGGAGAGCCAGAAGAAGCGCGAGGCGGAGGAGGAGCTGAAGCGCAAGGTGCAGGCTGAGCGCGAAGCGGCCCGGGAGAAGCAGAAGGCAGTGGCAGACCTGGAGCAGCTGCGGCTGCAGGCGGAGGAGGCTGAGCGACGCATGCGGCAGGCAGAGGCCGAGAAGGACCGGCAGATCCAGGTGGCCCAGGAGGTGGCCCAGCGCAGCGCTGAGGCTGAGCTGCAGAGCAAGAGGCTCTCTTTCGCCGAGAAGACAGCGCAGCTGGAGCTGTCGCTGCAGCAGGAGCACGATGTGGTGGCCCAGCTGCAGGAGGAGGCCGAGCGGCTGAAGAAGCAGCAGCTGGAGGCCGAGCGCTCGCGGGAGGAGGCTGAGAAGGAGCTGGAGCGCTGGCGGCAGAAGGCCAACGAGGCGCTGCGCCTGCGGCTGCAGGCCGAAGAGGTGGCCCACAAGAAGTCACTGGCACAAGAAGAGGCCGAGAAGCAGAAGGAGGATGCAGAGCGCGAGGCCCGCAAGCGCGCCAAAGCAGAGGAGGTGGCCGTGCGGCAGAAGGAGCTGGCGGAGGAAGAGCTGGAAAAGCAGCGGGAGCTGGCAGAGGGCACAGCCCAGCAGAAGCTGGCGGCGGAGCAGGAGCTGATCCGGCTGAAGGCGGAGATGGATAACGGGGAGCAGCAGCGCCTGCTCCTGGAGGAAGAGCTCTCGCGGTTGAAGGGCGAGGTGAACGAGGCCATCCAGAGGAGGAAAGAGCTGGAGGAGGAGCTGGCCAAGCTACGGGCAGAGATGGAAGTCCTGCTGGAGAGCAAGGCCAAGACAGAGGAGGAGTCGCGCTCCAGCAGCGAGAAGTCCAAGCAGCGGCTGGAGGCGGAGGCCAACAAGCTGCGGGAGCTGGCCGAGGAGGCCGCCCGCCTGCGCGCCCTCTCTGAAGAGGCCAAGCGGCAGCGGCAGCTGGCAGAGGACGAGGCCACCCGGCAGCGGGCCGAGGCCGAGCGCATCCTGAAGGAGAAGCTGGCGGCCATCAACGAGGCCTCACGGCTGAAGGCGGAGGCGGAGATTGCGCTGAAGGAGAAGGAGGCGGAGAACGAGCGGCTGCGGCGGCTGGCGGAGGATGAGGCCTACCAGCGCAAGCTGCTGGAGGAGCAGGCGGCCCAACACAAGCAGGACATCGAGGAGAAGATTGCCCTGCTGAAGCGCTCCTCAGAGAGCGAGCTGGAGAGGCAGAAGGGGCTCGTGGAGGATACGCTGCGGCAGCGGCGGCAGGTGGAGGAGGAGATCCGCGCCCTCAAGGCCAGCTTCGAGAGGGCCTCAGCTGGCAAGAGCGAGCTGGAGCGGGAGCTGAACCGCATCCGTGGGGAGGCAGAGGAGGTGCAGCGCAGCCGGGAGCAGGCGGAGCGGGAGGCCGAGCGGCAGCGGGCCCTGGCGCTGGAGGAGGAGGGCCGCCGGCGCGAGGCCGAAGAGAAGGTGCAGGCCATCCTGGCGGCTGAGGAGGAGGCCGGGCGGCAGCGGCGGCTGGCCCTGGAGGAAGTGGAGCGGCTGCGGGCCATGGTGGAGGAGGCGCGGCGGCAGAAGGAACTGGCAGAGAAGGAGTCAGAGCGGCAGATCCAGCTGGCACGGGAAGCAGCGCAGAAGCGGATTGAGGCCGAGGAGAAGGCGCACCTGGCTGCTGTGCAGCAGAAGGAGCAGGAGCTGCTGCAGACGCGCCAGCAGGAGCAGAGCCTCCTGGACCGGCTGCGCGAGGAGGCTGACCGGGCCCGACGGGCGGCCGAGGAGGCCGAGTTTGCCCGTGGCAAGGCCGAGCAGGACGCCAGCTTGTCCCGGCAGCGCGTGGAGGAGGCTGAGCGGCTGAAGCAGCGGGCAGAGGAGGAGGCGCAGGCCAAGGCACAGGCGCAGGCGGATGCAGAGAAGCTGCGGAAGGAGGCTGAGCTGGAGGCAGCGAAACGGGCGCAGGCAGAGCAGGCGGCCCTGAGGCAGAAGCAGCTGGCCGATGCCGAGATGGAGAAGCACAAGAAGTTTGCCGAGCAGACACTGCGGCAGAAGGCGCAGGTGGAGCAGGAGCTGACCAAGGTGAAGTTGCAGCTGGATGAGACAGACCACCAGAAGGGCATCCTGGATGAGGAGCTGCAGCGGCTGAAGGAGGAGGTGACAGACGCTGTCCGGCAGAAGGCCCAGGTGGAGGAGGAACTCTTCAAGGTCCGGGTGCAGATGGAGGAGCTGGCCAAGCTGAAGAGCCGCATTGAGGAGGAGAACAAGGCACTGATCCTCAAGGACAAGGACAACACGCAGAAGTTCCTGGCGGAGGAGGCAGAGAAGATGAAGCAGGTGGCAGAGGAGGTGGCCCGGCTGAGTGTGGAGGCGCAGGAGGCCGCCCGCATGCGGCAGCTGGCTGAGGATGACCTGGCGCAGCAGCGGGCGCTGGCAGAGAAGATGCTGAAGGAGAAGATGCAGGCAGTGCAGGAGGCCACGCGGCTGCGGGCCGAGGCTGAAATGCTGCAGAAGCAGAAGGACTTGGCGCAGGAACACGCCAAGAAGCTGCAGGAGGACAAGGAGCAGATGCAGCAGCGCCTGGCTGAGGAGACCGAGGGCTTCCAGAAGACGCTGGAGGCTGAGCGCCGGCGGCAGCTGGACATCACGGCTGAGGCCGAGCGCCTCAAGCTGCAGGTGGCAGAGATGAGCATGGCCCAGGCCAAGGCTGAGGGGGAAGCCAAGCGGTTCAAAAAGCAGGCAGAGGAGATCAGTGAGAGGCTGCATGAGACTGAGCTGGCCACACAGGAGAAGATGACGATGGTGCACACCCTGGAGATCCAGAGACACCAGAGCGATGAGGATGCCGAAAAGCTGCGGAAAGCCATTGCTGACTTGGAGAAGGAGAAGGAGAAGCTGAAACAGGAGGCAGCGCTGCTGCAGCAGAAGGCAGAGGAGGTACTGGGCTGCGGGTCCCCCTTAGTGGTGGTGGTACACAGGGAGGCTGTCCCTCTTCCCAGCCAGCCTACATCATCCCTGGGCTGGTCCCCAGGGACCATCACTGGGGATGGTGGGGCTGGACCCCCTGTGCAGGTCAGGGATGTGCACAGAGTTGTAGGTGGTGGAGCAAACCCCTCAGGCACCGTTGGAGCAGCACCTCGAACCCTTGGAGCCATAGAGGTGGGATCCCCACCGCCTGGGCTTGCTCTTCCACCCCGTGGCACGTCCTGCTGTGTTCCTCTCTGTGCCCAGCTCCCAGCCTGAGTGCTGGGGGTTCCCTTTTGTCCTTCCCCTGGTCATCCTGCCTCATGTTGTGTTTGGCTCCCTAACCCCGGCTCTGCTCCTTAGATCTTACATGTTGTAGAGAGTGTGTGGGTGACTCTGTGCCTCCGTGCCACCCCTGCTGCCTGTCCCCCTGCCTCAGCCCACCCTCAGTGCCCCACTGCCCTCCTGGGTGTCTGACTGCACTGTTCTCTCTCCCACCCCAGATGCAGGTGGCCCAGCAGGCTCAGCTCCGTCAGGAGACGCAGCTCCTGCAGCAGAGCTTCCTGACGGAGAAAGATGCCCTGCTGCAGAAGGAGAAGTTCATTGAGGAGGAGAAATCGAAGCTGGAGAAGCTCTTCAAGGATGAGGTGAACAAAGCCCAGAACCTGAAGGCAGAGCAGGAGCGGCAGCAGCAGGAGATGGAGCAGGAGAAGCAGCAGTTGAAAGCTATGTTGGACGAAGCCAAGAAGCATCAGAAGGAAGCTGAGGAAAACGTCCGGCACAAGCAGGAGGAGCTACAGCAGCTGGAGAAGCAGCGACAGCAGCAGGAGAAACTTCTGGAAGAAGAGAACCAGAAGCTGAGGGAGAGGCTCGAGCAGATGCAGGAGGAGTACAAGGCTGCCCTGGCCCAGAGGCGGGAGATCATGATCCAGACAGATGACCTGCCTGGGGAGGCGGTTACAGCAACACAGCTGCTGGACGTCAAGGCTGTGCCCAATGGCCGGGATGCAATGGACGGCTTAGCCCAGAATGGGGAGCCGGAGTTCGCCTTTGACGGCATCCGGCAGAAGGTGTCAGCAGAGAAGCTGGCTGATGCCGGCATTCTGAGCAGAGAGAACTTGGACAAGTTGGCAAAAGGTGTTGTGAGTGTGGACGAGCTCTCTCAGAGGGAGGATGTCAAGAAGTACCTGCAGGGCAAGAGCAGCATTGCCGGTTTGCTGATCAAACCCTCCAACCAGAAGATGAGCATCTACGAAGCCATGAAGAAGAAGCTGCTCAGCCCAGGCACAGCGCTGGTGCTCCTGGAGGCACAGGCTGCTTCTGGCTTCATCATTGACCCTGTGAGGAACGCAAGGCTCTCAGTGAACGAGGCGGTGCGAGAGGGAGTGATCGGGCCTGAGCTGCACAACAAGATGCTGTCGGCCGAGCGGGCTGTCACTGGCTATAAGGATCCATACACAGGTGATAAGATCTCCCTGTTCCAGGCCATGCAGAAGGATCTCATCGTCAGGGACCATGGCATCCGCCTGCTCGAGGCCCAGATCGCCACCGGTGGCATCATCGATCCTGTCAACAGCCACCGCCTGCCTGTGGAAGCCGCCTACAAGCGTGGCTACTTCGATGAGGAGATGAATCGGGTCCTGTCTGACCCCACTGATGACACCAAGGGCTTCTTCGACCCCAACACTCAGGAGAACCTCACCTACCTGCAGCTCATGGAGCGGTGCGTGACTGACCCGGACACAGGGCTGTGCCTCCTGCCGCTCACTGACCAAGCAACCAAGGCCAGAGAGCTGGTCTACACTGACAAGGAGGCCAAGGACGTCTTCAAGAAGGCCACAGTGACAGCTCCCTTTGGCAAGTTCCAAGGGAAGACGATGACCATCTGGGAGCTCATCAACTCTGAATACTTCACTGAGGACCAAAGGCGGGACCTGATCCAGCAGTACAGGACTGGCAAGATCACAGTGGAGAAGATCATCAAGATTGTCATCACGGTTGTGGAGGAAAGTGAGAAGAAGAGCCAGATGTGCTTTGAGGGCCTGCGGGGCCCTGTGCCTGCTGCCGAGCTGCTGGAGAGCAAGATCATCAACAAGGACCTCTACAACCAGCTGCACCAGGGCAAGAAGTCCGTAAAGGATGTGGCAGAGATGGAGTCCGTACGGCAGTACCTGAAGGGCACAGATGCCATTGCTGGTGTCCTGGTGGAATCTACGGGCCAGAAGCTCACCTTCTACGAGGCCCTGAAGAGAAACCTGCTGAGGCCAGAGGTTGCCCTGTCCCTGCTGGAGGCACAAGCTGCCACCGGCTACATCATTGACCCTGTGGGCAACAAGCTCTTCTCCGTGGACGAGGCAGTGAAGGCCGAGGTGGTGGGGCCAGAGTTCCACGAGAAGCTGCTGTCGGCGGAGAAGGCGGTGACTGGCTACAAGGATCCCTACACAGGTCAGACGGTTTCCCTCTACCAAGCACTCCAGAAGGGCCTCATCCCCAGCGACACTGGGCTCCGGCTGCTGGACGTCCAGCTTGCCACTGGTGGCATCATCGACCCCGTCAACAGCCACCGGCTCCCGCTTGAGGTCGCCTACAAGCGCGGCTACTTCGACCCAGAGATAAACAAGGCTCTGACTGAGTTCCAAGATGACGCCAAGGCTTTCTACTGTCCCAACACCCAGGAACAGCTCACCTACGCCCAGCTGCAGAAGAGCTGCCACCGCGACAAGCAGACTGGCCTGTGCCTGCTGCCCCTGTCTGACAAGGCAATCCAGTCACAGCAGGAGGAGATCTACACTGACAGCCAGGCCAAGGAGTGCTTTGACAAAGCTACCATCGAGGTCCCGGTGGGCAGCATGAAGGGCCAGACAATGACCATCTGGGAGCTGATCCACTCTGAATACTTCACAGAGGAGCACAGACGGGAGCTGCTCCGACAGTACAAGACCGGCAAAGTGACAATCGAGAAGATCATCAAGATTGTGATCACCATCATCGAGGAGGCAGAGACCAAAAAGCAGGAGAAACTGACATTCAGTGGTCTGCGGGCTCCGGTGCCAGCCAGCGAGCTGCTGGAGTCCTGCATCATCAGCAAAACCCAGTATGAGCAGCTGAAGGAAGGCAAGAAATCAGTGAAGGACCTCTCGGAGACAGATGCAGTGAGGAGATTTCTGCATGGCAGCGACTGCATCTCCGGTGTCTATGTGGAGGCCACCAAGGAGAAGCTGAACATCTATGAGGCCATGAGGAGGAACCTGCTGAGACCCAGCACTGCCGTGGTCCTCCTGGAGGCCCAGGCAGCCACTGGGTTCTTGATCGACCCTGTGAAGAACCGTAAACTGTACGTCAATGAGGCCGTGAAGGCTGGCATTGTCGGGCCTGAGCTGCACGAGAAGCTGCTGTCGGCTGAGAAGGCTGTCACGGGCTACAAGGATCCCTACTCAGGCGATACCATCTCCCTGTTCCAGGCCATGAAGAAGGGGCTGATTGTCAAGGAGCACGGCATCCGCCTGCTGGAGGCCCAGATCGCCACCGGCGGCATCATCGACCCTGTGCACAGCCATCGCCTGCCCGTGGAGGTGGCCTACAAGCGTGGCTACTTCGACGAGGAGATGAACCGGACCCTCTCCGACCCCACTGATGACACCAAGGGCTTCTTCGACCCCAACACTCAGGAGAACCTCACCTACGTGCAGCTGAAGGAGAGGTGCATCGAGGATCCTGAGACGGGCCTGTACCTGCTGCCTCTGCGGGAGCCTGAGAAGCCAAAAGTGGTGGAAACCACTCACGTGTACACAGAAGCAGAGACACGGAAGGTGTTTGAGGAGACACAGGTGGACATCCCTGTGGGCAGCCGGGCAGGCTCCACCATGTCACTGTGGGATGTCATGCACTCAGACCTGCTGCCCGAGGAGCAGCGTAAACATCTCATGGAGGAGTTCCAGTCGGGCCGCGTGTCCAAGGAGCGCATGATCATCATTATCATCGAGATCATCGAGAAGACTGAGATCATCCGTCAGCAGAATCTCACGTCCTATGACTACGTCCGGCGCCGCATCACAGCTGAGGACCTCTACGAGGCCAAGATCATCACACAGGACATCTACAATCTGCTGAAACAGGGCTCCAAAACCTTCCGGGAGCTCCTGGATGTGGAGACTGTCTGGAAGTACCTTTACGGGTCGGGCTGTGTGGCTGGCATCTACATCCCCTCCTCCAAGCAGACTCTCAGTGTGTACCAGGCGCTGAAGAAGGGCCTGATCAATTCTGAAGTGGCCCGCTCCCTCCTGGAGGCCCAGGCAGCCACTGGCTTCATGATCGACCCCACAAAGAACGAAATGCTGACTGTTGATGAGGCAGTCAGGAAGGGCGTGGTGGGGCCAGAGATCCACGACCGGCTCCTGTCGGCAGAGAGGGCTGTGACTGGCTACAGAGACCCCTACAGTGAACAGAAGATTTCCCTCTTCCAGGCCATGAAGAAGGATCTCATTCCCAGCGAAGAGGCCCTCAAGCTCCTAGATGCCCAGATCGCCACCGGCGGCATCATTGACCCACACTTGGGCTTCCACCTGCCCTTGGAGGTGGCTCTCCAGCGGGGCTTCATCAACAAGGAGACGTACGACATGCTGTCGGAGCCCAGCGAGGTGCGCAGCTACGTGGACCCCTCCACAGATGAGAAGCTCAGCTACACGCAGCTGCTGAAGCGGTGCCGCAAGGACGAGAACTCCCGGCTCCTCCTGCTCCCGCTCTGTGACACACGGAAGCTCACCTTCCGGGGCCTGAGGAAGCAGATCACGGTGGAGGAGCTGGTCCTTTCGAAGGTGATGGATGAAGCCACAGCCCAGCGCCTCCAGGAGGGTCTCACCTCTGTCGAGGAGGTCTCTAAGAACTTGAAGAAGTTCCTGGAAGGCACCAGCTGCATCGCTGGCGTATTTGTGGACTCCACAAAGGAGCGTCTATCCATCTACCAGGCCATGAAGAAGGGGATCATCCGGCCCGGCACCGCCTTCGAGCTCCTGGAGGCACAGGCAGCCACAGGCTACGTGATTGACCCCATCAAGGGCCTCAAGCTGACAGTGGAGGAAGCTGTGCGCATGGGCATTGTGGGCCCTGAGTTCAAGGACAAGCTGCTCTCTGCCGAGCGGGCCGTCACCGGCTACCGGGACCCCTACACTGGAAAGCTCATCTCCCTCTTCCAGGCTATGAAGAAGGGTCTGATCCTGAAGGACCATGGGATCCGCCTGCTGGAGGCACAGATCGCCACGGGAGGCATCATTGACCCCGAGGAGAGCCACCGCCTGCCTGTGGAGGTGGCCTACAAGAGGGGCCTCTTTGACGAGGAGATGAATGAGATCCTGCTGGACCCTAGTGATGACACCAAGGGCTTCTTCGACCCCAACACAGAGGAGAACCTCACCTACCTGCAGCTCATGGAGCGGTGCATCACGGACCCAGAGACCGGCCTCTGCCTCCTGCCTCTGAAGGAGAAGAAGCGGGAGAGGAAGACGTCCTCCAAGTCCTCCGTCCGCAAGCGCCGGGTGGTGATTGTTGACCCAGAGACAGGCAAGGAGATGTCCGTGTACGAAGCCTATCGCAAAGGCCTCATTGACCACCAGACTTACCTGGAGCTGTCAGAGCAGGAGTGCGAGTGGGAGGAGATCACCACCTCCTCCTCCGATGGCGTGGTGAAGTCAATGATCATTGACAGGCGCTCGGGGCGCCAGTATGACATCGATGATGCCATTGGCAAGGGTCTGATTGACCAGTCAGCCCTGGACCAGTACCGCTCGGGCACCCTCTCCATCACCGAGTTTGCCGACATGCTCTCTGGCAACATGGGTGGCTTCCGGTCGCGGTCGTCCTCGGTTGGATCCTCCTCCTCCTACACCGCCAGCCCAGCCCTGTCACGGACCCAGATCTCCATGTGGACTGACCCAACCGAAGAGACTGGGCCAGTGGCAGGCATCCTGGACACGGACACTCTGGAGAAGGTGTCCATCACGGAGGCGATGCGCCGCAACCTGGTGGACAACATCACAGGGCAGCGGCTGCTGGAAGCCCAGGCCTGCACCGGGGGCATCATCGACCCCAACACCGGTGACAAATGCACCGTTGCCGATGCGGTCGCCAAGGGCCTGGTTGACAAGATCATGGTGGACCGCATCAACCTGGCGCAGAAGGCCTTCTACGGCTTTGAGGACCCGCGGACCAAGACGAAGATGTCGGCGGCACAGGCCCTGAAGAAGGGCTGGCTCTACTACGAGGCTGGACAGCGGTTCCTGGAGGTGCAGTACTTGACAGGGGGCCTGATCGAGCCCGATGCCCCAGGCCGTGTCTCCCTGGATGACGCGCTGCAGAAGGGCACTATTGATGCGCGGACTGCCCAGAAGCTGCGGGATGTCAACACCTACTCCAAGTACCTCACCTGCCCCAAGACCAAGCTCAAGATCTCCTACAAGGACGCCATGGACCGGAGCATGATCGAGGATGGGACCGGCCTGCGGCTGCTGGAGGCCTCCTCCCAATCCAGCAAGGGCTACTATAGCCCCTACAACATCAGCAGTGCCGGCTCCACCTCTGGATCGCGCTCGGGCTCTCGCACCGGCTCCCGCTCAGGCTCCCGGCGCGGCAGTTTTGACGCCACTGGCTCCAGCTTCTCCATGACCTTCTCTTCCTCCTCCTACTCCTCCTCGAGTTTCGGGCGCAGATACACGGGGGTTACCCAGGGCACCGTGGAGGAGGCTGCCCTTGCCCTCGCCCTGGCCGCATCCAGAAGCTGTGGGTGGGAGGCGAGCAGGGAGTGCCCCGGGGTGTCTGTGCCCCTGCTCCACATGGCCTGAGACCTGCCAGCCCCCCGAGGTGCCGCCTCACCTGCTCCGCATGTGGCAACGCTGCTGGCTAATCACTAGTATTTTTTTTAATTTTGAACCTCCACTCTTCTCCCAAAGCAGTGCCTCAAGTTTAACCAAAAAGACAAGACTAATAAATTAATATATGCGAATGTGCTGACAGTGTTTGTATATTAAGAGACAAGAGAGAATACACACTACCCTCCCCACCCTATGCCCCGGGAGCTGGACACTGTTCCTGCTCCTGGCCGCGCCAATCCCGCCGCTGCTCGCACACGGCGCGGCCAAGCCGGACACCAAGAAAACAGTTCCCCGTTTGGATCTAACCACTTAGCACTCTTTTGTAATTAACCTGCCGGCTTCAGCCCCTGCATCCCAAAGGAGGAGACTGCCTTGGCCCTGTGGTGCACCCCACTGCAACCAATGTGCCAGAGGAGGACATCACCAGCTCCTTGGCACTGGACAGCCAGACACACCACACCAGCCCTGAAGCTGCTGCCTGGACCCCTTCCACGTGCCCCCAGTGCAGCGAGGAGGGGGCTCGGCACCCCAGCCCCCTGAGCTGCCCCACCTCCCTGCCTCAGCCTCCTGGCACGTCCCCACCACCACGTTGCAGAGCTGGTGCCCTGACCGTAAGTGCCGCGCTGGCGCTGCCCGGTGCTTCCGCGCCCTGCGGGGGGACCTGCCTCCGCTCACCACTTCGCCCGCCGAGGGGCTTTGCTGCGTGCCTGCCTCCGCCAGCCCACCCGCTCACCCGTCCTCCGGGACGCGCCCGCCGCGGTCGGCCGGTCTGTCTGTCAGTCTCTCCGTGTATCTGGGAAGTGCTTCTGCTCGAGGTTGATTTCCTCACACTCATGTGGCTCCCTGACCCATTGGCAGGTGTCTGCCAGAGCCCGCGCCCTAGCCTGGGTCTGCGCAGCTCCTGCCCCCAGAACCCCCCAGAGCCGTGGGAGTTTTCCTGACCCTCACTAAGGGTATGAGGGCCATGGGACCCCTGCAGCACAGGGTGGGCCGTGGGATGCTGTAGCAGCCTGGCACACACTCATGTTAGAATAGGCAGATTTCTGTGAAAACAGCCTCCTTTTCCGTCTTCGCGGTAATTCCATCCCCCCGGTTCATCCCCATGCCGGCGCTAATGCACTCTCTCTCTGGCAGACGTCTTTTTCCAGTCCCAACAAAGACCTCCCAGTGCCACTGGGTGAGCTCCTGAGCTGGGTCTCCGACATCAGCAGGTCGTGGACGGGCTCGAGGGGAGCCCTGGAGGCGGCAGCTGCTCAGCCGTGCCCACCTCCGCAGGTAACACCAACCTCCCTGGTCTGTCCCGGTCCCACAGCAGGTGCGTGGCGCTGATGGCCGGGCTTGGTGGCTTCATTTCATGGATTGTTCTCCCTGTCTCATCCCATCTTTTCTGTTCGCTTTGTTGTAGTGTGGCTGGATGTCCATACCACTTCCCCTCATCGCCGCCATGGAGCCCGTCCCCCACCCTGAGGCCGGTGGGACCGCATCTGAGGACATGGGGATGTTCTCCCTCACCCTTTGCACTTGCCAGAGTCCCCTGCCTGAGACTGGGGCCACGGTGCCCAAGCAGCCAATGGCCCAAGAAGCACCCGCATGGTCACCCGGCCCCACTTGCCCCACACACTCCCTCCTCTCTGGGGATGGCCTCCTGGTGTGGTGTCGGGCTCACTGCGGATCTCCAAAACATCTCCTCCTCCCCACCCGCTCTCATCTGCCACCTGTAAATTCTGTCATGTTACCCTCTGCCTCTGGTGTCATTATTGCTCTCATGACCCCCTTTGGCTTTGCATGAGGTGCCCCTGCACGCAGCTCCAGGACAGTCCCCGCTCCCGGGGCCCCCCAGACCCTGGCCATCACTCATGGGGACACTGGGGGTCCATGGATATCCCAAACACATCTCTTTTTGGGGGCAAAACACTAAACTTGTACATACCACTAAGTGTCTGTAAAAGGAGCAGTGCAGGCCCAGGGCTCCCCTGCAAGGGCAGTAAAGGAGAATCCTCTGAAACCAGCTGGCAGCTCTGCGTGATCTGTTCACCCCCTGGCCATGCCACTGTGGCCGTGGGCTCCCATTGCCTCCTGCAGCTTCGTGCCATGGGCTGTATGGGCTGCTGCAGGTCATGGTGAAGTATGTCAAGGTGCCGAGGGTCTGACCAGCTCCTGAGCCTGGGTGTACCCATGGTGCTGCCAGGCACAGAGCAGGGCCACGGGGTCGTCCCCAGACCTGATGGCACAGCTGACACTGCTGGGAGGTCAATGTGGGTGCAGCATTCGACCCCTGGTTTTGGGGAGTCGGTGCTGCTGGCGCTGTGGGGGCTTCTGAGCATTGCTTGTATGAGGACAGACCTACCCCTTCATCAGTGGGGCTCTGGGCTGGGCAGGGGCACTGTCCTTCATGGCACTGTTCCCATGATTGCTGCTACCACTGCCGGTGCCATGGTCTCTGCCCGGTGTGGGCTGTGCTGTGGGCACTCTCTTTGGGCGGTGGGGGCTGCTGGGGGTGGATGGCAGTGGTCAGCTGTGGGGCTGAGGGGCTTTAGGGGGTTCAGGATGTGATGGCCTGGCACCCACCGGTAGGACAGCAGCATTCAGAAGGGAAAGCCTGGCAAACCTGGAGACGTCAGTGCAGCCATGGCACAGGTGGTTCGAGGGGTCTGTCCAGCCCAGTGAGGCAGGTGCAGCCCAGGCTGGGACTCCCCAAGCACAAGGGTCATCCCACAGCAGTGCCAGGAGCCCCAGGCACTGTGCCAGGAGTGCCAGAGCTGTCAGGACCTTGCAGGACCCCTGCAATGTCCAGGGGTCTCAACTGTGCCAGGACCAGCCAAGCATGTCAGCAGCCCCGGGTGGGGCTGGCCGGGACAGATGGCGGTGGCTGGGCAGGACGTTAATTGCATTGTCCATCAGCAATTAACCGCAGCGTCCGTCTGTCCCCACCAGCAGTGGGATGAGGCCGTTAGGCACAACTGGGCCGGGGGGACTCAGGGAGGCTGCAGGCTGCTGCAGCCATTGGGGGGGTCAGGAGAGGCCCCAGAACAGCAAGACATTCCCACAAGCTGCTCGGGGCCCTGCCCCACGTCACTGCCCCCCCAGATATTTCCTTCTGTCCCCCAGATGTTCCCTGCTCCCCCAGATATTTCCTTGTGTCTCCCAGATGTTCCCTGCTCCCCCAGATATTCCTTGCTTACCCCTCAACTTCCTGACTCTCCCCCAGGGTGAGTAACCTCTCCTAAAGCTCATGAGACCACCAAGAGCCCCCTGACCCATGGCCCAGTCCCATGTCGTGGCCTTGAAGCCCCTCACACCCCCCCACCCCCAACACTGGCAGGATCTAGCTCAGTTTCCTGGTGAGAAATGTCCCTGCTCCCAGACCCAGCCTTGGGACTCACATCCATGTGCCAGGGGGGAAACCTTTCCCCCAGACCCCTTCGACCCCATGCCAGGGACCCTCCCTGGTGTCCCTGGGGCAGTGGGATCCCCCGCAGTGGCTGGCAAAGGAGGGTGAGGAGGGTGGAATGCACTGAGATCCACGCTGATTGCTCCTGGGGTGAGCCAGCCTCTTGCCCCACACAGCACGCTGTCCCCTGCCCACGGACACTCCTCATCATCTCGTGTTGCTCCATGTCACCCTCCTGCCCCACCAATTCCCCCTGTCCCTCCCACAGTCCCTTCAGCACCGAGCGCCGGCAGTGACCCGGCCAAACTCGTCACCATGGAGAACTCCACGATTTTCCCCATTTTAATGCCCTGCATGTCACCCTGCCCTGCTGCTGTGGAGGCTGGAGAGAACCCTCCCCGCCTCCCCGAGTTAAACCATCCCTCAGAACCGCGGTGGCACAGGAGACACCGAGCGCCTCCTCGGCCGTGCAGGGGTCCCTCGCCCCCCGCCCGCGTTCACCCACCGCCCTTCGGGGTGTGAGTGGCAGCACCGCCCTGTCCTGGCTGGGACCCGTGGCCGCTGTCCCAAGCGTGGCCGTGGCCACCGGCTCGGCCCTGCTGGCACGGAGCGGCTGCCAGCTCGCTGTGCCCACCGCCCCGGGCGCTGCTGGCTCGGCCCCCGCCGCGCCGGGAACGCTCTGTTCAGCTCCTCCACAAAGCCCGGCCGTCCTCTCCCACGCCCCCCCCGAGCAGGGGCGCTGAACCTCCCCATGGCCAGGGACCCCCGGACCCCCCCGGCCGCGCTGCTGAGGCTCGGAGCCCGGGCGAGCCGGCCAAGGGCGGCTGTGCCCCGTGTGAAGCGCTGCGGCTCCGTGCGCTGAGCCGGGGCCGCAGTTGGCTGGAGCGGTGAATCCCCCCGAGCCCGGTGCGTGCGGGGATGGTGCTGCCCCACGGCTGCAGCCGCCACGTCCTGCCAGGCACCGGGCAGCCCCCAGGGCCAGCCGGACGCGGTGGTGCGGTGCGGGCACGTCCTGCCGGGCACCGGGCAGCCCCCAGGGCCAGCCGGACGCGGTGGTGCGGTGCGGGCACGTCCTGCCGGGCACCGGGCAGCCCCCAGGGCCAGCCGGACGCGGTGGCGCGGTGCGGGCAGCGCTGTGCGGGACCGGGAGCAGCTCTCAGGCAGCTCCAGAGCTGTTTGCTCCGGCTGTCACGGGCAGCCCGCGGTGTCCGGTGCCCGAGCCGGGGCAGGGGGCAGCTCTGGGACACTCACAGGGACCCAGCGGGTCCCAGCACCAGTTTGGGGTTTGCTACTCCTCGCGGTCCTGTGTCTCTTGGCACGTCCCGACTGGAGCAGCCGGTGCAGCCGTGTCTGGGGCCACGATCTGGCAGCGATCATCGGAGGAGCTCCAGCCTCAGCCCCAGCCCCAGCCCCAGCAGCCCTGACCTTGGGCTGGAACAGCTTTTGCCAATGCACACACTGTTATCCTCTGCCCACCTGTGGCAGCATCCTCCACCTGCCCGATTGCCTGTGCCCAACCCCGGGCAGCAGGGCTGGCATTGTCACACTGCAGTCCTGCCCTGGGATGGGGGCACACAGGATCAGAGACCACCGGCGTGGGGCAGGAGGGCTGTGGGACCCCAGGAGAACTGCCATGACCCCAGAGGATGTCCCTGGCCCTGGCTGTGCCATCCTGCTCCCTCCCTGCACACTGACCTGGCCCTGGCAGGGGAAGTGGGGCACTGCTGTGGCATTCCCAGCTGGTGGGTGGCACTGGTGCCTGTGCTGGGGCAGGTGCCACACTGTGGGTGCGTGGGTTGGTTCGGGCCCTGCTGATGGCATTGTGACAGCAATGAGCTGTGAGTACACATCCCCAGAGCATCCCCAATGGGACTGAGCCCTGCTGGTGCTCCAACCACGAGGAGCTACTGTGGCACCAGCACCCAGCACCTGCCTGGTGCCTCTTCCCCTCATCCAGGGAATTCTGGTGGTGCTCCTGACCAGACCCTGGCTGAGGTTCCTCCTGCAGCAGACACATCCCAGCCCCTTTCAGCCCCCAGTGCTGCAGCTCCTGCTCAGCTGCTGTGTGTCACCTTCCCTGGGTCCTTCCATGGCAGCAGTGCCACGTCCCTCCTGCACCACGGGGGTTTTATCTCCATTTATCCAGCCCACTCTCCCTGGCTGTTTCCCCTGGTACAATATTTTGGAGATGAGGTGTTGGGCCCATCACCATCTTCGTGGCATCACTGTGGCTGTGCCCCGTTTCCCTCACAGCGCTGTCTCCCCCTCCTTGTGCTCAGCCAGGTGACCTGGCTTAATTAATCAGGGTTAACGACCAGTTAATTACAGCACTGTGGGAGCAGCATCACCCTCAGCCTCTGGGTGCAGGCTTGGTGTGATCCCTCCTGCCAGTCCCTCTCTCCACTGGGGCATGAAGGAACTGCTGCCTGTTCATGACCCGTGTCCGTGCCAGGGCATTGCTGGTTTGTGGATCTCAGTGTTTGCCTGGCATCTTCTCCCGTGTGTTGTGGCAAAGTGGCGTCACTGGCAGCACCTGAGGAGCATCTGCTCTGAGACACCGCTGCTCCACGCCTGAGCAGGGGGTTTTCCATGGGCCAGTTGGTAATTTTTTGCTGAGAGTCAGTTGGATGGGGGTCAGTCTGGGCTCAGCCAGCAGCTCTGCAGTGCACAGAGCAGGTGAAGGGACACTGGGGAGCAGATGTACCCCCAGAGGCAGCAGGGTGAGATCTGGGAGTGACCAAGCTGAAAACTGTTTGGAAATTGAGGTGTACCACAGGAATGCAGAGGAGCTGGAGCCAAGCCAAACCTGCAGGTACTGGTATAGGACAGACAGGGGGATCCTGGCCAGGGGAGCTCTGTCCCAGCTGGTGGGGACGGGCTGTCCCTGGGGAGACACAGAAATGCTCCAAGTCTCTTCACTGTGGAGCTTTGTCCCTCTGCCAGGACCTGGTGTGCCGTGCCCACTGTTCCTCTGCTCTCCCCGCAGGTGCACCGTGCAGTGGGGGACACCGGAGATGGTGTGGAGGGCTTGCCGTGGGACAGGGAGGAGCTGGAGAGGTACGGGCACCACTGGGCGCTGCCAGGGGCACCGCTGGGCACTGCCAGATGGGCGGTGCCAGCCATGCCCAGGTGTCCACACCCTGACAGGAGAGCTGCTGAACCCTTCACGGGGCTCTGGGGCAGGGAGGGTGTGGGGTGGCCGTGCTGGGGCCAGCAGGGTGGGAGAGAGCTCAGGTGTTGTCCTGGTTCAGAGCAAATTTGGGAGAGGATCCCCAAAGGCGTTCCTGTAGGAAAACAGATTCAATCGGCCCCTCCTCCCAACCGGTCCGGGAGAAAATACCTCCTTGGAGAAAAGGGGAAAAAACTGTTTATTAAACAAGAAAACCTAAACTATATTAAACAATAAAACCCCTTGCTGCTCCAAAAGAGATGACAAACTGACAAAACCACGTCCCCGGGTTGCCGTTCAGCTCAGTCAGTCTCTGATCAGTCCCCCCGGTGCTGGAAATGCCATGGCCCAGGCCCGGCCAGGTGCATGGCCACAGATGCAGCTGCCGGTGCTCCCCTGGGTGTGCAGTCCAGAACAGTTTCAAGAGGTCCAAAGAAAAAAGAAAAAACTGGTCCAGGGAACTTCTTTGCCTCAGCTAGCTGAAACTAACTAAAAGCAAAGGAGAGCTCTGTCCCGCTGTCTGTGCATCCACAGACAGCACAGTACAGGAGCAGGAATGTGGAGGAGTGAGTGCAGTGTCTGAAAACAAACTGCACGCTTCTTCTCTCCCCCCCTTCACTCTCTGGAACAAGTCTTAAAGGTGTAAAACTTATTATTCAGCATAAACAGAACGGGACGATTGGGGATAAAAGCATCATACAGTCAACCCAGGACAGGTGTGGCTGTGGCCAGCAGGGTATGAGCGAGCGCAGGTGTGGCTGTGGCACACCTGGTGCAGGTGGGCAGCGAGCCCAGAGTTCAGGGCAGTGCAGGGACAGGGGACAGCGACCGTGTCCCCACAGCCCCGTGTGTCTGTGCTCTCTCCCCAGAGCCTGCCTGCGCTCCGAGCAGAGGCTGGAGGTGCAGGAGCAGCTGCTCGCCCTGCGGCACTGGCTGGACGCCGTGGAGAAGCGGCTGCTGGCGCTGCCAGAGCCCGGCACGGCCCTGCAGGTAACGCCTGGCCCCGGGTGGTGCAGAGCCGGGCAGGACCAGCCCACGTCTGCACCGAGGCTGCTGAGGTCTTGGTCCTCACAAGGGAGGAAGGCACCTGGCCACAGCTGGCTGGGAGAGCCTGCAGCACAGCCCTGCAGCCATCCAGGGTCGGGTCTCCTGTGTCCGGCTCCCTGTCCCCAGCCCAAGGGTGCTGGTGGCCTGGAGGGAGCCCCATGGCCCTGGTAGTGCTCAGGGTACCATGGCCTTGGAGGCCTGCTGGCCACAGGGCCACCTCCTGCACTGGTGGCACTGTCACAGCTCGTGGCACTGTCACATGGGCATGGAAGAGTGGCTGAACACCAGGGGTGTGAGGCTGGGCACAGGGGGTGTGTGAGTGTGTGAGGGGTGTACAGCTGGGAACAGGGGGTGTGAGGCAGTGTGAGGGGCGGACATCCATGCACAGGGGGTGTAAGGCTGTGTGAGGGATGTACAGCTGGGCACAGGGGATGGGAGGCTGGGCACAGGAGGTGTGTAGCTTTGTGAGGGCGTACAGCCGGGTGGAGGAGGTGTGCCCTTGTCATATCATGTCAGATGTGTGCCCCCACACTGCCCGCGCAGCCTGTGCTGCCGTGCCCCTGCCCTGGCACAGGAGGTGTGGGGCTGTGTGAGGGGTGTACAGCCGGGCACAGGAGGTGTGCCCCTGTCAGATCAGCTTGGATGTGTGCCCAGCACTGCCTGCACAGCCTGTGCTGCTGTGCCCCTGCCCTGGCACAGGAGGTGTGAGGCTGTGTGAGGGGTGTACAGCCGGGCACAGGAGGTGTGGGGCTGTGTGAGGGGTGTACAGCCGGGCACAGGAGGTGTGCCCCTGTCAGGTCAGCTCGGATGTGTGCCCAGCACTGCCTGCACAGCCTGTGCTGCTGTGCCCCTGCCCAGGCGCGGAGCCGCAGCGGCAGCAGCAGCGCAGTGGGGGCTGCCGGCCGCCCCCTCCTCGCCGCCCCTCGCCGGCTCCTTTTGTTGGAGGCCTGGCCGGCACACGGGCTCCCTCGGCACACATGACGGCACAAACTGAAAGGGCCATTCATCGCGGCCCCGGCGCAGACAAAGCCGAGGCCGCACAGAAACCCACCCGGCTCCCGGGATCTGAGGCTGTGCATTCCAGCCGCCCGCTCCCGCCCGGTGCCCCGCGCCGGGCTCCGCTGCCCGGGGCGCCCGTGCCACCCCGAGCCCGGTACCTGGGGCTGCGGAGCGTGCCGGGCGAGCTGCCGGCGGCCGCGGGGGACGGGGGTGGCGAGAGGCTCGGAGCTGCATCCTCACCCCCTGCCCAGCTTCTGCCTGGCAGGTCCCGGCCGGGCTCTGTGAGTGCTGTGGGGTGCCCGCAGTACCGTGGGGTCAGACCCCGCTGGGTGCCCAGCCCCCCGGTGCCAGCAGCACAAGGCTCCAGAGCCGTGCGGGGAGGAAGAGGATGCCGAGCTGCTGCAGGACGCTGCGGAGCCGCCGAGGCCCCGGCAGATGCTAATTCCCGGCAGCGTCTCTGGCAGCAGACAAAGCCCCCGGCCCCGCCGCCCGCCGCTCCCAGGAGACCCCAGGGAGCCCCATCCATCAGCGTGGCCGACGCGCCGGCAGCGGCCCCCCGGCTCCCGGGGCCCAGCGAGGGGCACCGTGCGGCTCTGGGGGGCAGCATCCAGTCCTGGGGGACTCTCAGGGCAGGATGGGGATGGGGCTCACACCACGGGCAGGAGCAGCCTGGGCTGGGCACCTCCGGCTGCCCCCTGCTCCCTCCAGCACCCAGGGTGGCAGCGAGGGGTTCTGGAGAGCCAGGCCCGCAGCACTCTGGCTCTCAGGGTGAGATTCAGTTTAGCATCTTGTCAGCCCGGCCTGACCCCCCTCAAACACAGCCCTGCTCCACTGAGCCCCCTGGGCCTCTGGCTGAGGGGTCCATGCACCCAAAGAGCCCCAGGGAGTGGGGCCAAGCCCCTCAGGGAGTGCAGCAGCCATTGCCTGGGGGCCAGAGCCAGGGTGGGGGCTGCAGCCCCAGAGCGGGAGTGGCTGTGGGGCTGTGTGACCATGGGGCCGTGACACTGGGGCGGTGGCACCGTGGGGCCATGACACCGTGGGCTGTGCTGTCCTGGGGCTCATGGTGAGGCAGCACAGCCTGGGCTGGTTCTGGTGCAGGTGCCGGTGTGGTTACCGGTACCAGAGCAGTTGCTGGTGCCAGTGAGAGCACAGTGCCAGAGCAGCTGCCGCTGTTAGCGCTGGTGCCGGTGTCGGTACAGATGCCGGTGAGAGCACAGCGCCGGTGTTAGTGCCAGTGCCGGTGTTAGTGCTGGTGCTGGTGCCAGTGCTGGTGTCGGTACAGGTGCTGGAGCAGGCACCGGTGTTAGTGCCGGTGCCGGTGCCGGTACAGGTGCTGAGGCAGGTGCAGGGGCAGCAGCAGCAGCAGGTGTTAGTGCCTATGCCGGTGCTGGTGTCGGAGCAGGTGCCGGTGTCGGTACAGGTGCCGGTGTTAGTGCCGGTGGGAGCACGGTGCCAGAGCAGGTGCTGGTGCCGGTGCTGATGCTAGTGTCGGTACAGGTGCCAGTACAGGTGCCGGGGCAGGTGCCGGTGTTGTGCCGGTGTCGGTGCAGGTGCCAGTGAGAGCACGGTGCCGGAGCAGGTTTCGGTGTCGGTGCAGGTGCCGGGGCAGCCCGGGGCGCGGGCTCTCGCCCCCCCGGGCGGCGCGGGGCGGGCGGAGGGCCGGCACCGCCCCTCCCCCGCGGGATGGCTGCGGGGCCCCGGGGGTTTCCCCGGTAACGGCGGCGATCGGCTCCCGGAGGGTTAACGGGGGCGGTGTGCTGTGTCCGGGGTCAGACCAGCCCCGCCGAGCCCGGCGCTGCCGGTGCCAGGGTCTCCGCCCGGTGCCCCCGCGCTCCCCCCGCGCCGCGGGCGCGGCGCACAAAGGCGGCGGGGCCGGGGCGGCGGTAACGGGGACCGAGACTCCCCCCGCCGCCTCCGCCCCGCTCCCCCGCGCGGGCCGGGCCCCCCCGGAGTGGTAACGGCGGCGGCGGCGCCCCCGGCCCGGCCCCATGGACGCCCGAAGCCGCCGAGGGGTGAGTGCGGGGCGGGGGCTCCGGGGCCGCGGCGTGCGCGGGGCCGGGCGGGGTCGGTGTCCCGAGGCTCGGGGTCTCCCCGGGTCACCCCGCGCACCCGCGCAGCCCCCGGACGCGCGGGGGTTGCGGTGGAGTGGGAGTGCGGTGACCCGCGGGGCTGCACCCACCGGGACCGTGCCGTGGGTGTGGGTGCGTGTGCCGTGACCGCGCCGTGGGTGTGTGTGTGTGTGCCGTGACCGCGCACGGGGGTCGCGCCCGTGGCGTGGGTGTGTTTGTGTGTGTGCCGTGACTGCGCACGGGGGTCGCGCCCGTGGCGTGCCCCACGGCGGGTTGGGCCGAGCGGGGGGCTCAGGGTACCCCGGCACCCACGGCAGGAGCACGGCCAGGGTGGGTGCGTGTGCGCACCGTGTGCTCCCCAAGCGTGTACGGGGCTGCCGCAGGTGTGTTTCATGTCACGGCTGACGCAGGAGTGGGGGTCCCATCGCTGAACTCCCCCCGACCCCGAGCAGGGGTGCGAGCGTGGGGTCTGCCTGCCGGGGAGTGCGTGCACACGGGTTGGAGTGTGTGTGGTGAGTGTGTGCGTGTGCTTACATACGTGTGTGGTGTGTGTGTTTCTTTGCACACGTGTGTGTTATGTGCGTGTGTTTGCACACGCTTGTGGTGAGTGTGCGTGTGTTTGCACACGCGTGTTTGTGTGTACACACGTGTGTTTGTGTGTACACACGTGCGCAGGGGCGTGTGCCCGGGGCCGGGGGCAGCAGCACTGCGGCTGCGGCGGGGGGGCTGCCGGGGGAGGGTCCTGCCGGGTCACGCCGGGGATTTATGGCTGCGGCAGGGCTCGCAGGCTGGGGAGGCCACCTGCCCGTCCCCGCTCGGTGCCCCCAGCCCCCGTTCCCTGGGCAGATGCTCCTCTCTGGCTGCTCCTCGTTAATCCAATGGCGCGGGGCGATGCCGGGCGGGAGCATCTGCCTGTCCCCTGCTGCCACTGCCGCGTCCCCTGCCCAGACGCGTGGGACGGGCACGCTGGGCGCCGCCTCGGGGTCCCTTCCCTCCAGCCGTGTCCCCTCTGCCTGTCCCGGTACGCTGGCTCTTGACAGCCCTTTGCTGGGGGACCCTCAAGACCGGAGGGTGAGGTCAGGCAGCGCCGTGGAGTGAGGGGTCGAGCCGAGCGCAGCCCGGCGTCACCTGGGGGTCCCGCGGTGGTCCCGGTAACGCGCACCCCTGGCTCGTTGCAGGCCGGGATTTGAGGCGGGGGCCCGGCGCCCGCGCCATGGGGAACTCGGTGAGCCGGCCCAGCTGCCTGGGCGAGAAGAGCCGGCGACCGGAGGAGCTCCTGCGGGAGCCGGGGCTGGACGCGGGGCAGCCACCCGCAGGAGGCGTCGCGGAGGCCTGGCCGGTGCTGCTGGAGAAGGCGGCGCTGCCGGTGGAGAATGGCTGGAGCCCGGGGCCCGGTGTCGCCCGGAGCCGGCCGGGCAGCCCGGTGCTGAGGCGCAGCCAGTCCGAGGTGGCCGTGCAGAACGGGGGTGCGGCTGCAGTGCGGGGACAGGTGGGGGGCGCGACCTGGACCCCCCCCCGGGCCGGCGCTCCCCGCAGCACCTGGTCCTGGAAGCCCGTCACCACCCGGGAGGTGACCGAGGTGACGGAGGTGACCGAGACCATCGTGACGGAGATCGTGGAGGTGACCGAGTACCCGGCGGGTGACAAGGGTGGCGAGCCCGTGGTCACCCGCACGGTCACCGTGCTGACAGAGTGCGTGGGGGAGCTCGCTGCTGCTGCTGGACACACGGATGGCACCGAGGTGACCGACGGACAGAGAGCCTTGCTGGGAGGACGCTGTGCCAGGCTCTGTGCCACAGCGCTGCCCTCCAGCGGGGTTTTCTCCTGGCCTTGGGCTCGTGTGGACTTGCTGTCTGTGCCCTGGTGTAGGCAGGGCTGGTGGCACCGCTCATGCTGGGCACCCAGCCTGGTGCTGGAGGACAGGGACCTCCCTTCCCTCATCTCTGGCTGGAGGGGCCATGCATCTGGAGGGTTCCAAACGGCACCAGGCGTGCAGCTCCTGCTTTGGGGAGTCCTGTGAGGGATGTCAGGGAGGACCCCATGGGCTGGACAGAGTCCTGGTGTCATCTTGGGAAGAGGGCATGGTGTGAGGGTGCTGCCCAGCCCCATGGCTGCCCTCCACGTGCCCACATGGGCAGCTCAGCCACCTCTCCCCACAGGTGTCCTCACGGGCTGGACAGGGTCCCAGTGTCACCGGTGCCACCTCGGGAAGAGGGCACCGTGTGAGGACTGCTGCCCAGCCCCATGGCTACCCTGCACCTGCCCACACGGGCAGCTCAGCCACCTCTCCCCACAGGTGTCCTCACGGGCTGTGCCCGTCCCAGAGGAGGCAGCAGAGAGGGGCCAGGAGACGCTGGAGCGGCTGCTGGCCTGGGTGGCAGACATGGAGGAGCTGGTGAGCAACCAGAAGCCGCCGTCGGCGGAGGCCAAGGTGGTGAAGGCGCAGCTGGAGGAGCAGAAGGTCAGCCGGCGTGTCCCGCCCATGCGTGTCCGTGTGGGGATTAGGGGGCCAGAGCTCCAGGCCATGGCTGTGCCGGGGTGGGAGGGGTGCACAGGAGTCCCCAGCGCGGTGTCCCCCGTCCCTGCAGCTCCCTGGGTTCCAGCCTAGGGCTGTGCTGGGGTTCGAGGGGTGCACAGGAGTCCCCAGCACGGTGTCCCCCATCCCTGCAGCTCCCTGGGTTCCAGCCTAGGGCTGTGCTGGGGTTTGAGGGGTGCACAGGAGTCCCCAGCACGGTGTCCCCCATCCCTGCAGCTCCCTGGGTTCCAGCCCAGGGGTTCGAGGGGTGCACAGGAGTCCCCAGCGCGGTGTCCCCCGTCCCTGCAGCTCCCTGGGTTCCAGCCTAGGGCTGTGCTGGGGTTCGAGGGGTGCACAGGAGTCCCCAGCGTGGTGTCCCCCATCCCTGCAGCTCCCTGGGTTCCAGCCTAGGACTGTGCCAGGGTTTGAGGGGTGCACAGGAGTCCCCAGCACGGTGTCCCCCGTCCCTACAGCTCCTGAAGCGCCTGCTGGAGGAGCGGAGGCCACGTGTGGAGCTTGTCCTGCAGGACAGACTGACGGCACCCGAGGGCAGTGCCAGCCTCTTCAGCCTCGGGGAGAGGTGGGACAAGCTGATGCAGGAGGCTGAAGCCAGGTGGGTCAGGGGCCAGGTCCTCATCACTGGGCTGGCATCCCCATCCTGCTGGCACAGGCTCTGCCCTCTGGTGCCCCCCACACGGAGTCTCTGTGACACCCTGCTGTCCCTGTGCTCTGCCCCGCTGGCACTGGGGCCACCATGATGGAGGGACAGTCCCCATCACATGTGCTGGGGCTGCACCGGAGTAGCGGCTCCAGGGCTGCATGGACAGTTTGTCACACAGCCCTTCCCCCTGGTCCCTCTGTGGGACACTGTTCCCCTCTGTGGGGACAACTGGCGTTGCTGTGTCCCTCACTTCAGGGCACCACAGGGCATGGACATGCTGGTGATGGGGAGAGGGGGCTTTGCTGGCCCGGACACTGTCACTGCCCACCTCACCAGCCCTCCTGGTGCAGGTACGGCTGCCTGGAGCGGATCCTGCCGGCAGCCCAGGGCTTCCAGGAGGCCGTGGATGCCTTCCAGGAGTGGCTCGGCACCACAGAGAGGCAGCTGGCCCAGCTCTGGCGTGCTGATGGCTGTGTGGGCCGCGTGCAGGACGCCCACCAGCAGACCCAGGTGGGCACAGGTCGGGCGTGGGGTGGGCACAGGGTGGGCACGGGCACCTGTGTCATCGCTGGTCACTGCTACAGGCCCTCTGTGAGGAGATCCGCGGGCGGCTGAGTGAGCTGGATCGGGCCCTGGAGAGCGGGCAGCGCGTCCTGGAGCTGGTGACAGGCGAGTGGCAATGGCTGGGAGGGGTGGCCACAGGGACTTGGGATGGGATGAGCACAGACAGAGGCCAGGCCAGCAAGGGGGTCCTGGGCACTGGGGGTCTTTGGGGTGTGCTGATCACCACCAGAAGCTGTGCTATGGTGTGAGGGGGCAATAGCACCTCGGGGATGCAGAGGGGACAGGGTAGAGCCCGCGGGTCAGAGCTGGGGTGGGACAGGGTTCAGTGTCGAGGTGGGACAGGGTTCAGTGGTGAGGTGGGTCTTGCTGGCAGAGAGATGAGAGGCCAGAGCTGGATGTGGGAGCAGGAAGAGCAGGGGTAGGAGAGGGAAAAGGTCAGGACAGAGTGATTGCCACGTGGCTGGAAGCTGTCGCTGTGGCCAGTTCCATGTCCAGGGATGCCAGTGTGGTGGCACTGATGCCAGTGTCACAGTGGCACTGATGGCGGTGTTGCGGTGCCACAGGGGAGGAGGCCCAGCTGACGCAGGAGAAGATGGAGTCACTGAGGATGCGCTACCTCATCGTGGGCCAGAGCAGCGCTGACACCGCTCACCGGCTGGGGCAGACCCTGGAGGCCTCGTCTCGCCTGGGCACGGCCCCTGAGGACCTGGCACTGTGGCTGAGCCGCATGGAGAAGGAGCTGGGCGAGCAGGAGAGCCAGCAGGATGGACAGGAGCCCTCGGTCACTGCCAGTGACAGGGAGAAGGTTTGGCACACTGGGCTCCCCGAGCCCCTCACCATTCCCAGTGTCTGTCCCAGTGCATTCACACCCTCCCTGGCTGACGTCTGCCCCTCCGCTGCAGTTTGAGCAGGTCCTGGAGTCCCAGCTCAGCCGCGTGGCCGGGCTGGGTGAGCGGCTGGAGGAGATCGGTCACGTGCAGCTGGATGCTGAGGCTCTCCGCTTGCAGCTCTCCGAGCAGAAGGTGGGTCTGCAGCAGTGCCCAGGGGTACAGGGGGCACTGGGCTTGGCATCCCCATCCCTGCCAGGACCTGGCGCCCACCTGTGGCTCCATTCCAGCTGCTCTCTGCTGAGATCCTGCACTGCCGGGGCCTGGTTGAGCGTCTGCTGGGCTTCTCGGAGCCGCTGCTGCGCTGTTGCCCTGAGCCCCTGAGGCAGCGCCTTCAGGTGAGCTGCGAGGGTGCTAGGGGACATTACCAGCACCCAGGGATGGCTGTGCCCTGTGTGGTGACTCTCTGTCTCCGCAGCCGTCGGTGCAGGCGCTGCGGGAGCGCACGGAGCAGCTGTCCCTGCGCAGCGGCGCCTGTGCCGTGCAGCTGGAGCACGCCCAGTCCCTGCTCACCCAGTTCTCTGAGGCCCTCGAGGAGCTGCTGCCCTGGCTGGAGGAGACGCAGGCCCTGGGGGTGCAGCTGTCGCCCAACGCCATCAGCTACGAGGCCTTCAAGGAGCAGCAGGCGCTGCTGCAGGTGTGGGCAGGGCAGGGGCAAAAGGGACAGGCTCGGCCACCCTGCAGGTGGGAGCGGTGATGGGATGGGGGTGGCACCGCCATGGGCACCATTGGACTGGGACACCCAGTGAGCAGGAGCCCTCTGGGAGCAGCACCGGGTGCAGCAGCACATCCCTGTGGGGTGAATCCCACAGGGTGCATCCCACCCCAATGCGCCCCCACGGCTCTTCCCTGCTGCCAGAGCCTGCGGGAGGCCATCGCCGAGCACCGGCCGCTGGTGGGGAAGCTGCAGCGTGTGTCGGCACAGCTGCTGGAGCTGAGCCCCGAGCAGGGAACCCCATTCCAGCGGCGCTGGCAGGAGCTGGAGGAGCAGTACGGCCACATCCGCGAGCGCGTGCGCCAGGCGGCGGCTCTGCTGGAGGATGCCCTGCCACGATACAGCCAGGTATGCCCACCGCTGCCCTGGTGGGGCGCATCCCCGGGGCCATACCCTCGAGTCACTGGGCTGGTCCGCAGCTGTCAGAGCGCATGGACCTGCTGCTGGAGTGCCTGGAGCGGCTGCAGAGCCGGCTGCAGAGCCAGCCCCCTGTCCGTGGCGACGCGGCCCATCTGAGGGAGCAGATCCGGGAGAACAGCCTGGCCCTGGGCGAGCTGGAGAAGCTCGGGGTGGCCCTGGAGGGGATCCGAGCACAGGGAGAGGAGCTGCTGGCCACCGTGCAGGCAGTCAGCTCCGACGCCGCGGACAGAGGTACCGGCACGGAGGGGTGGGCACGGCATGGCTGGCAGGAGATCCGTGTCCCTGTCAGGGCCTGTGTGGGTGCTGGGGCCCTCGTGGCACCCCGATCCCTGACCCGCTGTGCCCTGTAGGGATCCAGGAGCGCAGCGAGCAGCTGCTGTCACTGTGGGGCTGCCTGCACGGCCGCTGCCAGGAGCGGGAGCGGTGGCTTCGGGAGCTGCTGGCACTGGCCGAGCGCTTCTGGCATGGCCTGTCTGAGCTGGCCGTGGCACTCAGTGACACCCAGCAGCTGGTGCTGGGCCTGGAGGAGGCTGGCAGCGAGCCTGAGGCCATCCGCACGCGGCTGCGCACTATGCAGGTATGGCTGGGTGGGGGCTTGCTGGGCAGCGCCATGACATGGCCAGCCCCTGGTGTGGGCAGTGCCCTGGTGTGGGCAGCCCTGAGCCCCGTGCCCTGCGCAGGCTCTGCGGGAGGACATCGACGCGCTGCAGGGTGAGCTGGACACGCTGGGCAGCTTGGGCGTGGAGCTGATGGCGTCCTGTGGGGACCCTGACAAACCTGATGTCACCAAGAGCCTGGACGATGTGAGTGTCCTTGGGGCTGGGTTCAGGGAGGGACATCCTGGGGGTGTGAGGATGCTGCTTGTGGGGATGGCGTGTCCCCGATGCCCAGCAGTGCCACTGACCCCACGGTGCTCCCCACTGACCCCCAACACAGCTCCTGTGCCCCGGCACTCTTGTGGTGTCTCCAGACCTAGATGTCCATGTGGTGCCACCCCTGTGCCGCCCCTGTGCCCCTGGCCCTTGTGACGCCTACACCCTGTCCCCCTGAGACACTGCTGACCCCTGTGCCCTGTCCACCTTGTCCTCCACATCCCCCTGCACTCTGGCCCTGCTGTGGCACCTCTGACCCCCCTGCCCTGTCCACCCTGTGCACCCTGTCTCCCTGCACCCTGGCTCCACTGTGGCACCACTGACCCTTGTGCCCTGTCCACCCTGTCCCCCATGCCCTGGCCCTGCTGTGCCCCCACTGACCCCTGTGCCCTGTCCATGCTGTCCCCCACATCCTGTCTCCCTGTGCCCTGGCCAAGCTGTGGCACCACTGACCCCCATGCCCTGTCCACCCTGTGCCCCCGTGCTCTGGCCCTGCTGTGCCCCCACTGACCCCTGTCCCCTGTCCACCCTGTCTCCCACGTCCCTGTGGTCCGGCCGTCCCCCTGTGCTCCGGCCCCGCTGTGGTACCACTGACCTCCGTGCCCTGTCCCTGGGTTGGCACCACTGACCCCTCTGCCCTGTCCACCCTGTGCCCCCTGTGCCCCAGCCCCACTGTGGCACCACTGACCCCTGTGCCCTGTCCACACTGTCTCCCCGTGCCCGGCCCCGCTGTGCCTGCACTGACCCCCGTGCCCGGCGCAGCTCTACTCCTCCTGGCACAGCCTGAGCCGGGTGTGGACGGAGCGGAACGGGCGCCTCGAGGAGCAGCTCCAGGCCGCCCTCAGCTACCAGGACACCATGCAGGTGGGTTTGGGGGCAGATCCTCCATGGAGGATCACCCTGTGTCACCCTCCTGTCCCCGCTCAGGGGTCTGAGGGACCGTGGGGCCACCACGGGTCCCCAACCCCGCGTGTTCCCTGTCCCCAGCGGCTCCTGGAGTGGCTGGACGCGGCCGAGCTGCGCATCGCCGAGGAGTTCCTGGTGGGCGGTGACCTGGACATGGTGCAGCAGCAGCTGGCCGAGCTCAAGGTGCCGAGATGTTCCGTGCCGGGCTGGGCTGGGCTGTGCCAAACTGTGCTGTGCCACACTGGGCTGTGCTGTGCTGTACCAAACAGTGCCATGCCAAACTGCTGTGCCATTCCAGGCTGTGCTGTGCCATGCCAAACCGTGCTGTGCCAAGCTTGGCCGTGCTGTGCCATGCCAGGCCATGCTGTGCCATGCTAAACTGTGCCGCACCACACTGGGCCATGCCGTGCCATGCCAAACTGTGCTGTGCTGCGCTGGGCCATGCTGTGCTGCACTAAACTGTGCTGAGCCACACCGGGTCGCACTGTGCCATTCCGAACCATGCTGTGCCACACTGAACTGTGCTGTGCCACGCCAAACCATGCTGGGCCATGCTGTGCCATGCCGTGCCACATCATGCCCTGATCCCTGGGGGCTGGCAGAGGCAGGGAGGGCAGCGGGTGCTCCAGGCAGATGTTGGATGGATTGGGATGGCACCTTGGACAGTGCCCTTGCCCCAGGGCACTGGGTGGCCAAGTCCTGCCTGGGGTGGCCCCCACGAGTCTCTGAGGTGCTTGGGCACCCCCAGAGGAGCAGCTCAGGGCCAGTGCCTGTGCTGTGCCATGTGTGTGGTGCCCTGGAGTCGGGCTGACCCTGTCACCAACCGGTGCCACCTGCCAGGAGTTCAAGCGGGAGCTGTACCAGTGCAAGGTGGACGTGGAGAGCCTGCGGCACCAGGGGGGCACGGGGCAGGGGGAGCCCCCGGCCACGCTCTGCGACTTCCGTCAGCGCTGGGACCACCTGGAGGAGGAGATTGTCAGCAGACAGGTGGGCAGGGGGCACAGGGCAGGGCTGGCAGGTAGGCAGGGGGCACAGGGGGCACAGGGCAGGACTGGCAGGACAGGGGGGTGCTGTGAATGTGCTGGGTGGGCACATCCTGTGGGTACTGGGGGGCCAATGGGATTGGGTCAGCGTGGGGGGCTGCAAGTGGGCACTGGGTGGGTGCCCATGGCTGGGTGGGCACTGGGTGGATGCCCAGGGCCAAGTGGGCACTGATTGAGCACTGTGTGGGCACTGGGTGTGTGCCCAGGGCTGTGTGGGCACTGGTTGGGCACTGGGTGGCTGCCCAGGGCTGTGTGGGCACTGGGTGGGTGCCCAGGGATGAGTGGGCACTGGTTGGGCACTAGGTGGGCACTGGTTGGTTGCCCAGGGTCGTGTGGGTGCTCTGTGGGCACCAGGTGAGCACTGGATGGGTGCCAGGTGCTGTGTGGGCGCTGTGTGGGCACTGGGTGGCTCTCCAGGGCCATATGGGCACTGGGTGTGTGCCGGATACTGGGTGGGCACTCAGTGGGTGTTCAGGGCTGTATGGGCACTGGATGGGTGCCCAGGACCATGTGGGCAGTGGGTGGGCACTGGGTGGGTGCTCAGAGCCAGGTGGGCACTGGATGTGTGCGGGGTGCTCTGTGGGCACTGGTTGGGCACTGGGTGGGTGCCCAGGGCCAGGTGGGCACTGGGTGTGTGCCAGGTGTTCTGTGGGTGCCCAGGGCCATGTGGACACTGGGTGAGCACTAGGGGTGTGCCAGGTGTTCTGTGGGCACTGGGTGGGTGCTCAGAGCCAGGTGGGCACTGGTTGGGCATTGGGTGACTCTCTAGGGCTATATGGGCACTGTGTGTGTTCTCAGGGCCAGGTGGGCACTGTGTGGGCACTGGGTGTGTGCCAGGAGCTCTGTGGGCACCCAGGGCCATGTAGCCTGCCCTTCCCTCCCCTGACCCCACGTTTCCCTCCCGCAGCACCAGCTGGAGGCAGCACTGCTGGGGCTGGGGCAGTTCCACACGCAGCTGGCCGAGCTGCTGCAGTGGCTGAGCCGCACCGGGGAGCAGCTGCGCGGCCCCGCGCCCCTGCGGCCCGACCTGCAGAGCTGCGAGATCGAGCTGGCCAAGCACAAGGTGAGCCTGCACCGGGGCTGGGGGACACACGGGCACAGCCATGGTCACACTGCTGGGGTGGGTGTCATGGGGGTCCTGGATGTGGTGGTACCCCCAGGGTGGGTGTCCTGGGGGTCCTGGTCATGGTAACACATCAGGGTGTGTGCCCTGGCCATGGTGGCACCGGCAGGGGGGGTGTCCTGGTCAGGATGGGTGTCCTGTCTGTGGTTGTACCCCAGGGTGGGTGTCCTGGTCAGAGTGAGTGTCCTGGTCATGGTGGCACCCCCTGGGTGTGTGTCCTGGCTGTGGTGGCACCCCAGGGTGGGTGTCCTGGTCAAGATGGGTGTCCTGGCTGTGCTGGCACCACCAGGTGGACTGTCCTGGCCATGGTGGCACCCCAGGGTGGGTGTCCTGGTCAGGGTGGGTGTCCTGACCCTGGTGACACCCCAGGCTGGATGTCCTGGCTGTAATGGCACCCCAGGCTGGGTGTCCTGGCCCCAGGGCGCTGCCTGGCCTCCCCATCGGATGCAGCAGCAGCAGCAGCAGCTGGGCCGGGCAGGCTGCAGCACAGGACGCGTCCCCTCCCTCGGTGACAGCACGGGAGGAATGAGCTGTCCCAGGGCTGGCCCTGTGCCACAGCCCTGTGCCCGGACATGCTCCTGACGTGCCTGACACAGGCGAGGCTGCGAGGGCCGGGCTGTCCCTGCTCCAGGGAGGCCGTGAAAGGGGTACCTGTCCCCTTTGCCCCTGTCCTCTCTGCCCCTGTCCCCTCTGCCCCTGTCCTTCTGCCCCTATCCCTGCCACTCTGCTGCCACGAATTGGCAAATCCTGTGCCTCGGCCCTGCCTCTCACCCTGGCACCAGCCTGGAGGCACCCATGGGTGCCATCCCTGCCCAGCGTAGCACTGTCACTCCCCAGGGCTGTGGTGGCAGCAGTGCTGCAGGCAGCAGAGCTGTCTCAGGGCGAGGGGCTTTAGGAATTCAGGTGTGAGTGTCTCTGCCAGGTTTAGGGGCTTTAGGAATGGGGGTGCGGGTGCCCCTGTCTCCCTGTCCCAGCTGTGACCCCGCCGCTCCCTCCACAGTGGCAGCGGTGCTGGGGGCAGCAGAGGTGTCTCGGGGCCGGGGGCTTTAGGAATGCGGGTGTGGGTGTCCCTGTCCCAGCCGTCACTCTGCCACTCCCTCCCCAGTGGTGCTGGGGGCAGCAGAGGTGTGTCAGGGGCTTTAGGAATGCAGGGTGTGGGTGCCCCGTCCCAGCGTCCCAGCCGTAACCCCGCCGCTCCCTCCCCAGATGCTGGGGGCAGCAGAGGTGTTTTGGGGTGAGGAGCTTTAGGAATGGGGGTGTGCCCGGCCCCAGCCATAACCCTGCTGCTCCCCGCCCAGTGGCAGCGGTGCTGGGGCAGCAGAGGTGTCTCAGGGGCTTTAGAAATGGGGGTGTGGGTGCCCCTGTCCCAGCCATAATCCTGCTGCTCCCTCCCCAGTGGCAGCGGTGCTGGGGACAGCAGAGCTGTCTCAGGGCCAGGGGCTTTAGGAATGTGGGGTGTGGGTGTCCATGCCGGGTTTAGGGGCTTTAGAAATGGGGCTGTCCCTGCCCGGCCCCAGCTGTGACCCCGCCGCTCCCTCCCCAGCAGGGCTTGGGGCAGCAGTTTCAGACCGAGGGGCTTTAGGAATGGGGGTGCGGGTGCCCCTGTCCAGCCCCAGCCGTGACCCCGCCGCTTCCTCCCCAGCAGTGCCGGGGGGCAGCAGAGGTGACTTGGGGCCAGAGGCTTTAGGAATGCAGGGTGTGGGTGGCCCTGTTGGGTTTAGGGGTTTTAGGGGCTTTAGGAATGCGGGTGTGGGTTCCCTGCCCCTGTCCCAGCCTTGACCTCACCGCTCCCACCGCAGTGGCAGCGGTGCTGGGGCAGCAGAGCTGTCTTGGGGGCTTTAGGAATGGAGTTGTGGGTGCCCCCACCATGATCCCAGCCGTGACCCTGCCGCTCCCGCCCCAATGGCAGCGATGCTGGGGGCAGCAGAGCTGTTTGGGGGCCAGGGGCTTTAGAAATGGGGGTGTCCCTACCCAGTCCCAGCCGTGACCCCGCCATCTCCTCCCCAGTGGTGCTGGGGGCAGCAGATCTGTTCTGGGGCCAAGGGCTTTAGAAATGGAGTGTCCCTACCGCTGCCCCACACCGTGACCCCCCCGGTCCCTCCCCAGGTGCTGCGCACCGACGTGATGTCGCACGCCCGCACGGTGCAGTCGGTGACCGAGGCCGGGCAGGGGCTGCTGCTCTCCAGCCTGGGTGAGAGCGTGGAGGGGCTGCAGCGCAGCCTGCAGCAGCTGGAGCAGCACTGGGAGCTGGTGCGCAGCGAGACCGAGAGCCGGCAGCTGGAGCTGGAGAACAACCTCAGCCAGGTACAGCCGCTGTGCCCCACATTGGGTGCCAATATATTGGGATTAAATACCAATATAGCCAGATGGAACGGGCCTGGGCTGGTCTGGCCCTTGCTGCTGGACCAGAGGTGGCAGCTGTGGTGGTTTCACCTCAGAGACACCTTTGGCTAAGCTGGATGCTGCAGCTGGGTGCTAGAGACAAGTCCAGGCTTGCAGGAGCTCAGTTTTACCTCTGGCGGAAAGGCTTTAGGTGAGGTGAAGGAAAAGGAGTCAGTTCTGCTGCAGGGTTTCGATCCAGGGCTTTATTCCTAGCACTCAGGCCTCTGAATGCAGCAACAACTCCAACAAAACCAACAAACCCTGTGGTTGCTGTGTCTTTTAACCCCAGGGAGAGGGGGAGGGAAGGGGTAGGGATCCCACCAACCAGGTAAGGGGAGGAAGTCTCAGGGGACAAATGACACCCAATGTCCCCAGGGCTGAGAGGCATCTTTTGAACTCTGCCAATCACAAAACGCCCTTTCTGGAATGCCAGGATTGATGGACAGCACTCAGCAGGGGCAAGGGAGGGGAAGGGAGAGGGTATTGGCACACCTGGGGAAAGAACCGGGGTGACTGAAACAGGCTGCAACCTGAGCCCCGCCTTGCCCCCAGGTGCAGGACATCACGCTGGAGATCACAGAGCTGCTGCAGTGGCTGGAGCAGGTGGAGCTGCAGCTCTTCTGCTCCAAGCCGGCCTGGGGCCACCCTGATGCCACCAAAGAGAAGCTGAACGCACACCTGGTGAGAGCCAGAGCCAGCCTGGGCCCTGATGGAGGACCGGCCCCTGTGGTCTGTTGGTCTTGTGGGGGGATGTGTGACCCAGGTCCACCCTTCTCCACATTGCTGGGCCAGGATCCTTCTCTGCTGCCTCCTTCCTCCAGCCAGGCAGAGCCTGGTGCCCCTCCCTCAGCAGCTCCAGCTCAGAGCAGGAGCCATCCTTGTCTTTGTCCCTTGCCCTGAGCCTGTTCCTGTCCCTGTCCACATCCCTGTCTTCATCCCCTCTCCCTGTTCACTGTGGCTGTCTCCCTTGTCCCCATCCTCTGTTCCCATCCCTGTCCGCTGTCTGCTTTACCTGACCCCTCCACATCCCCATGCCTGTTCCCATCCCTGTTCCTATGCCTCTTCCCATCCCCATCTCCATTCCCATCCCTGTTCCCATCCTCATCCCTGTTCCCAGCCCCATTCCCATCCCCATCCTTGTGCCCCCTTTCATCCCCATCCCTGTTTCCATCCCCAGCCTCATTCCCATTCCCATCTCCATCCCTGTACCTGTCACCCTGCCTGCCCCATCCACATCCCCATTCCCGTTTTCATCCCTGTCCCCATCCCCATTCCCATCCCCATTCCCGTTCCCAACACCATCCCCATTACCATCTCCTGTTCCCAGCTCCATCCCTGTACCTATCACCCTACCTGCCCCATTCTCATCCCCACCCCTGTTCCCTTTCCCATCCCTGTCCCCATCCCTATCCCCACCCCTGTCCCCATCCCTGTTCCCAGCCCTGTTCCCTTTCCCATCCCTGTCCCCATCCCTGTTCCTATCCCTGTTGTCATCCCTGTTTCCATCCCCATCCCTGTTTCCAGCCCCATTCCCATCCACATCCCTGTACCCGTCACCCTGCCTGCCCCATCCACATCCCCATCCCTGTCCCCATTCCCATTCCTGTTCCTGTTTCTATTCCCATCCCCTGTTCCCATCCCTATCCCCATCCCTGTCCCCATCCCCATTCCCATCCCTGCTCCCAGCCCCATCCCTGTACCCATCACCCTGCCTGCCCCATTCTCATCCCCACCCCTGTTTCCATTCCCATCTCTGTTCCCAACCCCACCCCCTGTCCCCAGCCCTGTTCCCATCCCTGTTCCCAGCCCCACTCTCATTCCCATCCCTGTCCCCAACCCCATTCCCATTTCTGTTCCCGTTCCCATCGCCATCCCGATCCCTATCCCCGTTCTCATCCCTATTCCCAGCCCCGTTCCCATCCCTGTTTCCAGCCCCATTCCCATCCCCATCCTTGTTCCCTGTCTGCTTTACCTGATCCCTCCCCGTTCCCATCCCCATCTCTGTCCCGTCACCCTGCCTGCCCCATCCACATCCACATCGCCATCCCCATCCCACTCCCCGTCCCTTCCTCCCCCTGCCCGCTGTCCTGCTGCTGACGCCACTCCCGCACTATCCCACTGTCCCTCTGTTGACACCGCTGTCCCGCTGTCCTGGTGCTGACACCACTGTCCCGGCAGGAGCTGTGCCGGGAGCTGGAGGTGCGGGCCGGTTCCTACCGGGGGCTGCGGGAGCGGCTGCAGCGGCTGCTGGACTCGTGCCGCGCCGGCCGGCCCTGCAGCACCGAGCACAGCCTGCGCCTGCTGGAGCAGAAGTGGGACAGCGTCCAGGCCGAGGCCCAGGAGAGGAAGGTGTGCGGGGGGCTGTGGGGGGCTCTGACCCGCGGGGGGCTCCCCCTGAGCAGACCGGGTCAGGAGAGGAAGGGGTGTGGGGCTCTGGGGGGCTCTGACCCGCGGGGGGCTCCCCCTGAGCAGACCGGGTCAGGAGCAGGGCAGCCGGTGCTCACCGGTGCCCACCAGTGCCTGCCGTGCCCACCGGTGCCCACCATGCCCGCAGGAGCGCCTGGCCGAGGGGCTGACGGTCAGCACCGAGTTCCACGGCTCGGCGCAGGAGCTGCTGCGCTGGGTGGCCCACGCCGAGGAGCTGCTGGGGTCCCCCGCGCCCCCCAGCTTCGTCCTGGACACCGTCACCGCGCAGATCCAGGAGCACAAGGCAAGAGCAGTGCCCACAGAGCTGGTTGGTGGGGTGGGGGTCTGCCTCAGGGGTGCCCAGGGCAAGTGGCATGTGTGTCCCTGTGGCACCACGACCCAGGAGCACAAGGCAAGAGCGGTGCCCTCAGGGCCAGTTTGTGGGGCTGGGGTGTGCCCCAGGGGTGCCCTGGGTAAGTGGCACCTGCGGGGTGTCCGGGGCGAGTGGCACGCGTGTCCCTGTGGCGCTATGATCCAGGAGCAAAAGGCAAGAGTGGTGCCCTCAGGGTCGGTTTTTGGGGCTGGGGTCTGCCCCAGGGGTGCCCAGGGCGAGTGGCACGTGTGTCCCTGTGGCAATACGGTTCATGGTGCAGGGGTCTGCCCCAAGAGTGCGGTGTGGGACCTGTGGGGTGCCTGGAGGAGTGGCACGTGTCCCTGTGGCAATACGATCCAGGAACACAAGGCAAGAGAGACACCCTCGGGGTCAGTTCATGAGGCTGGGGTTTGCCCCAGGGGGGCCCGGGGCGAGTGGCACGTGTGTCCCTGCCACCATATGGCACAAAATGAATGATGCTCACAGACTGAGATGTCCGAGGCAAAAAAGGGTGTGTTTACTTCCGCACCTTGATATTTATAGAATTCCAAAAGTCACCAAGGACTGGAGGATGGAATTGCCACCTCTCCAATCGCACTGGTCCAACCAACAGCCCGTCAATTCTCTCCTCCTCCAGAACGGGATGCAAAACAATCATTATTTACATGAAAAGCACATGAGAAACAAAAATGTAAACATCAGAATACTTAGAAGAACTTTAGAAGAACAAGGCACCATGTCCCCCACCACAGCAGAGCGAGCAAGCTCTGTTACTGGAATTTACCAGTATTGCAGATGGGACATGCCTTGGCCCCTTGATGCTGAACCTAATGGGGGCAACTGTGGTGTTTCACCCCACAGACACCTTTGGCTGGCTGGGTGTGTGGTGTTTCACCCCACAGACACTTTGGGCTGGCTGCGTGTGTGGTGTTTCACCCCACAGACACTTTGGGCTGGCTGGGTGTGTGGTGTTTCACCCCATTTTTGGCTGGCTGGCTGTGTGGCGTTTCACCCCACAGACACTTTGGGCTGACTGGGTGCTGCAGCTGGGCCCGTGGGGACAAGTCCAGGCCTGTAGGAGCTCTGGTGGTGCTGGGATGGAGCTTCCCCCCATAACAGGGGCTGCTCCTCAGGCTTCCCTCTGTGGAGAAGCTTTAAGGCCATGGTGAAGGAAAGGAGTTGGTTCTGATGGAGGGTTCGGATCCAGAGCTTTATTCTGGCCCACAGGCCTCTGAATGCAGCACCAGCTCCAACAGAACTCCCTGAGCCTGTGGTTGCTGTCCCTTTGAACCCCGGGGAGAGGGGCAGGGAAGGGGTCGGGTGCCACCAACCAGGGACAGGAGAGGAGGGACAAAGGGACAAAGGACACCTGGATGGCCCAATGCCCCCCAGGGGTAGAGGGCATCCTTTGAATCTGCCAATCACTCAATTCTGGAATTCCAGGATGGACAGAGAGTGCTGGGAGGGGGAAGGAGAGGTGACTGACACACCTGGCAGGGAATTATCAGTGAAGGGACCCAAGTTCTGGGGCAAACCCTGAAATCACACTGCAATACTCTGTGCCCCATCCCAGTCCGTGCCTGGTACTCCGTGTCCCCTCCTGGCACGGGCTGTGTCCGGGGGCTCCTCACCCGCCCCAGGACCCCCACCCTGAGCTGCCCCCTCCCCGCAGGCCCTGGTGAAGGAGGCGAACGCACACGGAGAGAAGCTGGGCGGCCTGGAGGCCGTGGCCGCGCGCCTCAAGGATTTCAGTCGGAAGCAGGACGGGGCCGTCATCCAGAACCTGGTGCTGGCAGCCCGGGAGAGGCTGGGCAAGGTCCTGCAGCGGGCAGCAGAGAGGGGAGCTGTACTGGAGGAGGCCCGGAAACGCAGCAAGCAGGTGCTGGGACACAGCCCGGGCTGGGGAGGGGGCTCTGCACCTTGGCTGCCTTGGGACATGCACCTGGAGGGACAGGACAAGGTGCCAGAGGGCACCTTCCCAGTGCCAGAGGGCAGGGATGGATGGGATATGGGGAAGAAGTTCTTCCCTTGAGGGGAGTTTCCAGGAGAAGTTGTGTCTGCCCCATCCTCAGAAGTGTCCAAGGCCAGATTGGATGGGGCTTGGAGCAACCTGGGCTAGTGGAAGGTGTGGCAAGGGGCTGGAACTGGATGGGCTTTGAGGTCCTTCCAACCCAAACCATGCCAGGAATGTTGATTCCATGACATGGGTCCTCCTGGGAACTGTGTCAGGAGGAGAACCTGTGGCTCTGGTGCTGTCACTGTGCTCTGCTGGCCCAGGAAGGGACCCCACGGCTCTGGTGCTGTCACTGTGCTGTTCCGGCCCATGAATTTCTTCCCATGATCTTGGGAAGAAATTCTTCCCTGTGAGGGGGGTTTCCTGGAGAAGCTGTGTCTGCCCCATCCTCAGAAGTGTCCAAGGCCAGGTTGGACAGGGTTTGGAGCAGCCTGGGACAGTGAAAGGTGTCCCTGCCCATGGCAAGGGGGTGGAACTGGATGGGTTTGAGTTCCTTCCAGCCCAGGACTGTTGATTCCATGTCATGGGTCCTGTTGGGAGCTGGCCCAGGAGGGGACCTGATGGCTCTGGTGCTGTCACTGTGCCGTTCTGGCCCAGGAAGGGACCCCATAGCTCTGGTGCTGTCACTGTGCTGTCCTGGTCCATGGTTTGCTCCGTGGTGGTGGCCAGGCCCTGTCACACCCTTGTGTGGCTCCATGGCTCCCGTTTGGGCTGCGCCAGATCTGCTTTGCCTCTGGGTTCCCCCCTGAGCTCCCTGAGCCCCCTGCAGCCCCCTGAGCCCTGCCCTGCCCTGCAGTTCAGCGAGTCCCGGCGGCTGCTCCTGGACTGGATGGACGAGGTGGAGCAGAGCCTGGAGGAGCCTCAGGACGCAGCCACCAGCCAGGAGGAGATCAAGTGCCAGCTGGCTGAGCACAAGGTGGGGCTGCCCCTCGTGCTCCTCGGCACGGGGGGCGCAGAACGGGGCTGCTGGGGGGGTCCCCAGCTCCCAGGGGGTTGGACAGCACCCCAGGGTCTAGGGTTGTTGTTGTTAATTGCTGCCCCGAGATGTGCAGGATGTCTCTGCTTCAGCCCGCGCGGCTGAAGAACGAGTCTGGACTCTTCACTTTTTGGTCTTGGGGTTGTTTATTAATTCTTATCTATAAAATTTTCTTTCTGCCCAGCCGAGGTCTGCTCAGCAGGGCAGCCACAGGCACTCTGACCGCCCCTGAGGCGGTGTTGTCCTTTTATACTACAAACTACGTATAACATATTTACACTTAATGCCCAATACCCATTACCTATGTTAGACAGTGCACTTCTATTCTAAATATAACATATTTACACTTAATTCCCAATACCCATCACCTATGTTAGACAGTGAGCTTCTACTCTAAACCAGTCCCAAAGTGCCAACATCACAGCAAAAAATGGAGAACAAGAAGGAGAAAGGCTAGACACGCCCACATTCCTCCATCTTGTCCCCATAACCCACATACCAAAAATCCTAAAATCTACATTTTCACGCTGTGATCATTTTGTTATAACACCATGCAAACCTGTGTGACTTTCGGGTCCTCATACAAAGCTGGTAACTTACTCCAAGGGTCATAATCAAATCCCCAGGTGTTCTGGGCTGTGTGCCAGGGTCTCTGAGCAACTCTGGGTCCTCGGCAACTCTGGACACCCAGAGGGACGTGCTGAGCTCTGACACCAGGGCCATCCTGCAGTGCTGGGAGACCTTGGGGGAGTGCTGGGCTGAGGGGTGTTGGGCATTTAGGGCATCCCAACCACCCCACAGCCCTTGGGGGAGCAGGGAGTGTCCTTCTCCAGCTGGGGGACTCAGCACCCAGGGGGAACACCCAGCACCAGGGGGTTTGGACAGCACCCCAGGGCCATCCTGCAGTGCTGGGAGACATTGGGGGAGTGCTGGGCTGAGAGGTGTTGGGTTTTTAGGGCATCCCAACCACCCCAGAGCCCTTGGGGGAGCAGGGAGTGTCCCCCCACACATCTGGGGGAGTCCTGGGCCAAGGGATGTTGGGCATTTAGGGCATCCCAACCACCCCACAGCCCTTGGGGGAGCAGGGAGTGTCCTTCTCCAGCTGGGGCACCCAGCACCCAGGGGGAACACCCAGCACCAGGGGGTTTGGACAACCCCCCAGGGCCATCCTGCATTGTTGGGAGACCTTGGGGGAGTGCTGGGCTGAGGGATGTTGGGCATTTAGGGCATCCCAACCAACCCAGGGCCCTTGGGGGAGCAGGGAGTGTTCCCCCACATCTGGGGGACCCAGCAGTGACCTGTGAGGTGTGCGGGGTGCCCCTGCAGGCGTTCCAGAAGGTGCTGCGGGCCAAGCGCCCGGTGTACGAGGCCACGCTGCGGAGCGGGCGGGCGCTGCGGGAGGGGGCGCGGCTGCCCCAGGACCTGCAGCCGCTGGAGGAGCTGCTGGGGGAGCTGAAGGAGCGCTGGGACGCGCTGTGCAGCCATGCAGCGGAGAGGTGGGAGCGGCGCCGGAGGGGTGGGGTGGGATGGAGTGGGGTGGGGTGGGGATGGGGTGGGGGTGAGGTGTGGGTGGGGTGGGATGGGTTGGGATGGAGATGGAACGGAGAAGGGGTTGGGATGCAGGTGGTATGGGGATGGGACAGGGAAGGGGTTGGGGTGGGGATGGGACAGGGAAGGGGTTGGGATGGGGATGGGACAGAGAAGAGGTTGGGATGGGGGTGGGACAGGGAAGGGGTTGGGATGCAGGTGGGATGGGGATGGGACAGGGAAGGGGTTGGGATGGGGATAGGATGGGATGGAAATAGGGATGGAAATGGTGCCCACAGCATTTCTGTGAGGGTTTGGGGTGCAGAGGAACCCTGTGAAGGTTTGGGTTTCCCAGGAACCCTCTGCCCACTGCTGTGAGGGTTTGGGGTGCACAAGAACCCCGTGCCCACTGCGAGGGACTGTTGGTTTCTTTGATGTGGCCTTTCTGTGATTGTTCATGGACCAGTTTTGAGGGAATTCAGTTTCTTTTTGTCCAGGGGCCATTGACTCACGCAGACAGGATTGTTGGTTTTCCATGACAGCTTCAGGGTGACCAGTGCCAAAATCATGACCCCTTTCCAAAATGCACTTCCACCTGTGGCACGATCTGTTCTCTGCTCGCTCTGAGGGTCCCAGGCGGGCACATGGAACTGCCCTTCCTCCCTGAGCATCCTCCTCTGGGACCCCATTCCCAGCATTGCTGGGCTCTGCCCTTGGGCTGCAGCTGGGCCCCATCCCTGTCCATAATGACACCACCAGGACCTGTTCTGGTCCATAATGGCACTGCCAGGACCTGTCCCTGTCTATAATGGCACTGCCAGGACCTGTTCCAGTCCATAATGGCATTGCCAGGACCTGTCCCTGTCCTTAATGACACCACCAGGACCTCTTCCAGTCCATAATGGCATTGCCAGGACCTGTCCCTGTCCTTAATGGCACTGCAAGGACCCATCCATGCCCATTATGGCATGGCCAGGACCCATCCGTGTCCATAAGGACACAGCCACGACCTGTTCCTGTCCATAATAGTGCTGCCAGGAGCGGTTCTTGTCCATAACAGCCCTGCCAGGACCTGTTCCAGTCTATAACAGCACAGCCAGGACCTGTCCCTCTCCATAATTGCACCACCAGGGCCCATCCCTGTCCATAATGGCACTGCCAGGACCTGTCTCTGTCCTTAATGACACCACCAGGACCTGTTCCTGTCCATAATGGGGCCACCAGGGCCTGTCTCTGTCCATTATGGTGCTGCCAGGACTCATCCCAGTCCATAGCAGTCCCACCAGCACCTGTCCCAGTCCATAATGGCACTGCCAGTTCCCTGTGGCACCCTGGGGTTCCTCTTTGGGGTGCCCTCGGGTTCTGAGCGTGCCCTGTGCTCGCAGGTAGCACAAGCTGGAGGAGAACCTGCTCAGGACCCATCCCAGTCCATTAACGGCCCTGTGAGGACCCATCCCAGTCCATAATGGCACTGCCAGTTCCCTGTGGCACCCTGGGGTTCCTCTTTGGGGTGCCCTCGGGTTCTGAGTGTGCCCTGTGCTCGCAGGTAGCACAAGCTGGAGGAGAACCTGCTCAGGACCCATCCCAGTCCATTAACGGCCCTGTGAGGACCCATCCCAGTCCATAATGGCACCGCCAGGATCCATCCCAGTCCATAACAGCCCTGCCAGCTCTCTCTGGTGGCTCTGGGGTGTCCCCAGGGGTGCCCCCAGGTGCCCACACTGCCCTGTGCCCCTGGCAGGCAGTGCAAGCTGGAGGAGAACCTGCTCAGGATCCAGCCCAGTCCCTAAGAGTGCCACCAGGACCCATCCCAGTCCCTAATGGTGCCACCAGGATCCATCCCTGTCCATGATTACACCACCATGACCCATCCCAGTTCACAACGACCCTGCCAGCTCCCTGTGGTGGCTCTGGGGTTCCTCTTTGGGGTTCTGAGCTTGCCCTGTGCCCGCAGGCAGCACAAGCTGGAGGAGAACCTGCTCAGGACCCATCCCAGCCCATAATGACAATGCCAGCACCCTGTGGTGGCTCTGGGGTTCCTCTTTGGGGTGCCCCCAGGTTCTGAGTGTGCTCTGTGCCCTGGCAGGCAGCACAAGTTGGAGGAGAACCTGCTCGGGACCCATCTCAGTCCATTAACGGCCCTGTGAGGACCCATCCCAGTCCATAATGGCACCGCCAGGATCCATCCCAATCCATAACAGCCCTGCCAGTTCTCTCTGGTGGCTCTGGGGTGTCCCCATGGGTGCCCCCAGGTGCCCACACTGCCCTGTGCCCCTGGCAGGCAGCGCAAGCTGGAGGAGAACCTGCTCAGGATCCAGCCCAGTCCCTAAAAGTGCCACCAGGATCCATCCCAGTCCCTAATGGTGCCACCAGGATCCATCCCAACCCATAAGGGCTCTGCCAGCTCCCTGTGGTGGCTCTGGGGTGTCCCCAGGGGTGCCCCCAGGTGCCCACACAGCCCTGTGCCCCTGGCAGGAAGCAGAAGCTGGAGGAGACCCAGCTCAGGACCCATCCCAGTCCATAATGGCACTGCCAGGATCCATCCCTGCCCATAACAGCCCTGCCAGCTCTCTGTGGCAGCTCTGGGGTTCCTCTTTGGGGTTCTGAGCGTTCCCTGTGCCCCACAGGCAGCACAAGCTGGAGGAGAACCTGCTCTTCTCGGGCAAGTTCACGGACGCGCTGCAGGCGCTCATGGACTGGCTGTACCGCGCCGAGCCGCAGCTCAGCGAGGACGCGCCCGTCGGGGGTGACCGCGACCTGGTCGGGGACCTCATGGACAAGCACAAGGTGGGTGGCCCTGGGGAGGGGCTGCAGGGACCCCCGGGCTGTGCCCACCCTTGCTGTGGGGCAGGAAGGGGCATTGCCTGCTGGGGAGACCCTGGTGTGACCCCGGTTTGGGGTGCCCTCGACCTGGTACTGGGGGCACTGTGTGCCCCAGAGATGGGAAGGGGTTGGGGGGCAGGGAAACCCTGTGAGGGTTTGGGGTGCACAGGAACTGTGAGGGTTTGGGGTGCACAGGAACCCTGTGAGGGTTTGGGGTGCAGAGGAGCCCTGTGAAGGTTCGGGGTGCACAAGAACCCTGAGCTCACTGCTGTGAGGGTTTGGGGTGCACTGGAACCCTGTGCCCTGTTCTGTGAGGATTTGGGGTGCAGGGGAGTCCTGTGAGGGTTTGGGGTGCAGGAAAACTCTGTGAGGGTTTGAGGTGCCCAGGAACCCTATTCCCACTTCTGTGAGGATTGGGGTGCACGGGAGCCCTGTCAGGGTTTGGGGTGCTGGGGAACTCTGTGAGGGTTTGGGATGTAGGGGAACCCTGTGAGGGTTTGGGGTGCAGGAAAACCCTGTGCCCACTGCTGTGAGGGTTTGGGATGCAGGAGAACTCTGTGCCCTTTTCTGTTAGGGTTTGGGGTGCCCAGAAACCCTATGCCCATTTTTGTGATGTTTGGGGGTGCACAGGAACCCTGTGCTCACTTCTATGAAGGTTTGGGGTGCAGGGTAACTCTGTGGGGGTTTGGGGTGCAGGAAAACCCTGTCACCACTGCAGTGAGGGTTTGGAGTGCACAGGAACCCTGTTCTCACTGCTGTGAGGTTTTGGGGTGCACTGAAACCCTGTGCCTACTGGTGTGAGGGTTTAGGGTGCAGAGTAACCCTGTTCCCACTGCAGTGAGGGTTTGGGGTGCACAGGAGCCCTGTGCCCGCTTCTGTGAGGGTTTGGGGTGCAGGAGAGCCCCATTCCCATTGCTGAGAGGGTTTGGACTGCACAGGAACCCTATGCTCACTGCTGCAGAGGTTTTGGGGTGCACAGCAGCCCCGCACCCATTGCTGCAAGGTTTTGGGGTGCAAGGGAACCCCGTACCCACTGCACTGAGGTTTTGGAGTGCAAGACAACTCTGTGCTCACTGCTGTGAGGTTTTGGGGTGCACAGCAGCCCCGCACCCACTGCTGCGAGACTTTGGGGTGCAGAGGAACCCCATGGCCACTGCTGCAAGGTTTGGGGTGCAGGGCACCCCTGCCCAGCAGCGGGGTCCCCGTCCCACGGTCCCGCCGCCGCCCAGGTGTTCCAGAAGGAGCTGGGCAAGCGCGCCAGCTGCATCAAGACGCTGAAGCGCTCGGTGCGGGACCTGACGCGGGGCAGCAGCAGCGTGGACTCGCAGTGGCTGCAGCGGCAGGTGGAGGAGCTCAGCACCCGCTGGGACCTAGTCTGCAAACTCTCCCTGGCCAAGCAGGCCCGGCTGGAGGCGGCGCTGCGGCAGGTGAGGGCTGGGGGGCAGCGGGGGAGAGCCCGGGGTTGAGGGGCAGTGCGGGAACCCCTGGGACTGGGGGGCAATGGGGGAGGCCAGGGGATTGGGGGGCAGAGGGGGAACCCCTGGGGTGGGGGGCAGCGGGGGAGCCCAAGGTGTTGGGGGACAGCAGGGGAGCCCCATGGGGTTGGGGGCAGCAGGGGAACCCCTGGGGTGGGGGGCAGCGGAGGAACCCCGGGATTGGGGGGCCACGGGGGAGCCCAGGGGATTGGGGGGCAGAGGGGGAACCCCTGGGGTGGGGGGCAGAGGGGGAACCCCTGGGGTGGGGGGCAGCAGGGGAGCCCCATGGGGTTGGGGGGCAGCAGGGGAACCTCAGGGTTGGGGCCTGTAGTGGAGGAACCTCTGGGGTTGGGGTCGGCAGTGGGGAAACCCACGGGGTTGGGGGGCAGTGGGGGGACCCAGGGATTGGGGGGAACAGTAGGGGAACCCACGGGGTGGGATCTGTAGTGGGGGAACCCCCAGGATGGGGGGCAGTGGGGGAACCCCAGGGTTGGGGTCTGCAGCTGGAGCACCCGTGTGGGGAGGCTGAGATGGACGTGGGAGTGTGGGGTGCTCGGTTTGGGGCTGGCTGTGCTTTGGGAGGAGTTTGGGTGGTGGGTGGCTGTGTTTTGGGGGGTCTCTGTGGGGTGGTGTGTGGCCATGGGGGTGTGGGGTGTTTGGGTGGTGGATGGCTGTGTTTTGGGGGGTGCTTGGCTGGTGGGTGGCCGTGTTTTGGGGGGTGCTCTGTGGGGTGCTCAGGTGGTGCGTGGCCATATTTTGGGGGTGTTTGGGTGGTGTGTGGCCGTGTTTTGTGAGGTGTTTGAGTGGTGGGTGGCCGTGTTTTGGGGGGTTCTCTGTGGGGTGCTTGGCTGGTGGGTGGCTGCAGTTCCAGGGTGCTCCATGGGGTGCCCAGCCGTGGTGGGTGGCTGCACATTTTGGGGGTGCTCTGTGGCGTTCTCAGCTGGTGGGTGGCTGCACATCTGAGGGAGTGCTTTGTGGGGTGGTGGGTGGCCATGCTTTGGGGGGTGCTCAGGTGGTAGGTAGTCGTGTTTTGGGGGATGCTGTGTGGAGTGCTCGGGAAGTGGGTGGCCATGCTTTGGGGGCAGTTTGGGCGGTGGGTGGCTGTGTTTTGGGAGGTTCTCCATGGGGTGCTTGGCTGGTGGGTGGCTGCAATTCCAGGGTGCCCCATGGGGTGCCCAAGTGGAGGGTTGCTGCACATTTGAGGGTGTTTTTTGCGATGCCCAGGCACGGTGGGTGGCTGCACATCTCGGGAGGTCTCCCAGGCTGCCTGGGTGGTGTTGGGGCTGTGCCTTTGGGGCTCTCTGTGGGGTGCACCGCTCAGGGCGTGGTGCTGCGTGGGGCTCTGAGGTTCTGTCGCAAGGTCCGTGGCCAGGTGCCAGGCCAGGTGCCTCTTACAGGTGTGAATGTGTGCACAGTGCCTGGGGCAGGCAGCTGGGTGGCGCAGAGTGGCACAGGGAGGCTCAGAGGAAATTGTGTCCCACTCTAGAGCTTGCTGTGGGGTCTCCCCTCGATCCCACTGTGGGGCTGGAGCGGGGCTGGCAGCAGCTCTCCCTGGGCACAGCATGCACCCGTTGCCTGTGCCAGGGGCTGGTCCATGCCCAGCAGGGCTCAGGGGCTGGCCAGCAGGTTCAGGGGGCTCAGGGGCTGCAGGGTGGGTGCTAAGCGGGTCCCCACTGTGGTGGCAGGCGGAGGAGTTCCACACCCTGGTGCACTCCTTCCTGGGGCGCCTGACGGAGTCGGAGAAGACGCTCAAGTACGGAGTGTTCCCCGAGGAGGAGGCGGCCGTGCATGAGTGCCAGGCCCAGCTGCAGGTGGGTGCCGGCCCCCATTGGCCCTCATTGGCCCCCATTGGCCTCCATTGGCCCCCACTGGCGTCCACTGGCCCCCACTGGCCCCCACTGGCCCCCATTGGCCCTCATTGGCCCCCATTGGCCCCCATTGGCCCCCATTGGCCTGCATTGGCCCCATTGGCCCCCATTGGCCTCCATTGGCCCCCACTGGCGTCCACTGGCTTCCATTGGCCCCCATTGGCCTCCATTGGCCCCCATTGGCCTCCACTGGCCCCCATTGGCCCCCAGCAACCCCAGCTTTGCCCCAGGAGCTCCGTCACTGGGTCAGCCAGCCCAGCTGGGCTGTGGGATCCCCACAGGGATTTTGGGTGCCTGTCACTATAGGACACGAAAGAACATGAGCACACATCCCTGTTCTCAAGGTGAAGAGAAAAGGGAAGTTTAGTTTCTGACTCCAACATTTATAGTTTTTCCAAAAGTGACAGCGGATTGGAGGGTGACAGTGCCACCTCTCCAATGACACTGGACAAACCAACAGTCCATCAACTCTCTCCTCCTCCATAAAGGAACGCAAATCAATGAGTTATTTACAGAAAGTGTGTGAGAAAGTTCTCTACAAGAGTGTCAACACCAGAAGGCTTAGAAAATCTTAAAAAACCAGGGTGACAGGTGCCACCACTGAGAGATTTGGGATGTTGAGTCCCAGCACACCAAAACCATGGGGTTTGGGGCCCCAAATGCCCTGAGGTGGGGAGGTTTGGGTACCCCCGCCCCAATCCCCCAATCCTGGTGGTGTCTGGAGGGCTGAGGCCTCACAGTGCCGTGTCCCTGTGCCCCCAGGAGCTGATGCAGTCCCTGCAGTGCCAGCAGCTGGAGCTGGAGTGCATCACCTCGCTGGGGGAGGAGATCCTCAGCACCTGCCACCCCGACTCCGTCATCACCATCAAATCCTGGGTCACGGTCGCCAAGAGCCGCTTCCAGGAGGTGAGACGGGGGCCCCATCCCTGCCCGGGGGGGCAGAGTGGTGCCCACACCTGGGGAAAGCACGGCCCCACACCTGGGGAAAGCATGGCCCCATACCTATCCCACTGCCCCGCACCCACCCCACTGCCCCACACCTGGGGAAAGCACGGCCCCACACCTGGGGAAAGCATGGCCCCACACCTGTCCCACACCTGGGAAAGCACGGCCCCACATCTGTCCCAGTGCCCCACATCTGTCCCAGTGCCCCACACCTGTCCCACCGCCCCACACCTATCCCAGTGCTCCACACCTGGGGAAAGCACGGCCCCACACCTGTCTCATGGCCCCACACCTGTTCCAGTGCCCCACACCTGGGGAAAGCACAGCCCCACACCTGTCCCAGTGCCCCACACCTGTCCCACAGCCCCACACCTGTCCCCCTGCCCCACACCTCTCCCAGCACCAGGGACTATCAGGTGCAGCCCCCCCAACCAGAGCACTGCAGGATCTGGGGGTGCTCAGCCCTTGGGGGCCTTGGCCTTGCCAGTGTCACCCCATGGTCCCCCACCCTGTGGCCTCACAGGGTCACCTGGGGCCCCCACAGCCCCCTAGGAGGGTGGTGACTCATTCCTGTGCAATGTGGCTGCCATAGAGCTGAGGCAGGGAAAGGTGGGAGCAGTGTCCTGGGACCCCCACCCCAGACCTGGCTCCACAGTGGCCCAGAGCCGCCCTGGGCTGCTCTGGATTTGCAGGTGAGAGGCTCTGGCGCTCCTGGGACTGGTCTGGCCAGTTCAGCCAATCCCACACAAAGCCTTTATTGAGCACAGAGCTGCAGGATCTGCTCTGGATCTGCCGTGGGGCTGCCCCCCTCACCCCGCGCACCCCAAAATGGGAGAGCAGCCGGCATGGCCACACAGCACAGACCTGGGGACCCTTGGAATGTGGGGGGCAGCACCCCCGGGCCTGACCCTGCTGCCCAGCAGGAGCCTGGTGCTGCCCCATGTCCCTGCCCAGTGTCCCTGCCCTATGTCCCTGCTCCCATGTCCCTTTCCCATATCCCAGACCCATGTCCCTGCCCCGTGTCCCAGGTGGGGGACCTTGGGGTGCGCATCCTTGCCCAGTGTGCCTGCCCAGTGTCTCTGTCCCAAATCCCTGCTCCATATCCCTGTCCCATGTCCCAGCCCCATATCCCTGCCCCCGTGATGCAGACCCGTGTGCCTGCCCAGTGTCCCTGCCCCTTGTCCCTGCCCCATATCCCTACCCCATGTTGCAGCCCCATATCTCTGTCCCTGCCCCATGTCCTTGTCCCATATCCCTGCCCCGTGTTCCAGCCCCATGTCCCTGCCCCATGTCCCAGCCCCATATCCCTGCCCCTGTGATGCAGACCCATGTACCTGCCCAGTGTCCCTGCCCAGTGTCCCTGCCCCGTGTCCTTGCCTCTTGTCCCTGCCCCATATCTCAGCCCCATGTTCCAGCCCCATATCTGTGTCCCTGCCCCATGTCCTTGCCCCATATCCCTGCCCCATGTCCCTGCTCCATGTCCCTGCCATATATCCCCGTCCAGTGTCCCTGCCCCATGCCTCTGCCCCATATCCCAGCCCTATATCCCAGCCAGGGGATGTTGGGGTGCGCAGTAGGTGCCCTCCCCGTGTCCGGTGTCCCATGGGGCGGACCTTGGGACGCACACTGGGGTGCCCTCCCCGTGTCCCTGCCCTATATCCCAGCCCCATGGCCCAGCCCGAGGACCCTGGGGGGCACACTGGGGTGCCCTCCCCATGTTCCCATGTCCCAGCCCCATATCCCTGCCCCGGGTCCCAGCCCCATGTCCCTGCCCCATATCCCAGTCCCATATCCCAGCCGGGGGACCTCAGGGTGCGCAGTGGGGTGCCCTCCCAGTGTCCCCATATCCCTGCCCCATATCCCAGCCCTATATCCCAGTTGGGGTCCTTGGGGTACACAGTGGGTGCCCTCCCCGTGTCCCCCGTGTCCCTGCCCCATATCCCAGCCCCATATCCCAGCCCTATATCCCAGCCCAGGGACCTCGGGGTGCACACTGGGGTGCCCTCCCCGTGTCCCTGCCCCGTATCCCAGCCCTGTCTCCCAGCCCGGGGACTCTGGGGCGCACACTGGGTGCCCTCCCCGTGTCCCCCGTGTCGCTGCCCCATATCCCAGCCCTATATCCCATCTGGGTGACCTCCGGGCGCACACTAGTGTGCCCTCCCCGTGCCCCGCTCGCCCCACCGCCCCGGCCGCCCCGCAGGTGCTGAGCTGGGCGCAGCAGCAGGGCGAGCGGCTGCGGGCGCAGGCGGCGGCGCTGGCGGCCGAGCGGGAGGACGCGGAGCAGCTGCTGGAGTGGATCACGGCGGCCGAGGAGGCGCTGGGGCTGCGCGACCAGGAGCCGCTGCCCGAGGAGGCCGAGCCGCTGGAGGAGCTCAGCGCGCAGCACGCGGTGAGGGACCCCGCAACCAGCTGGGCATGGGGACAGGGGGACCCCGAAACCGGCTGGCATTGGGGACAGCGGGACCCTGACACTGGCTGGCACTGGGGACAGGGAGACCCCCCCCCGGCTGGGCATGAGGACAGGGGGACCCCGAAACCGGCTGGGCATGGGGACAGGGGGACCCCGAAACCGGCTGGCATTGGGGACAGCGGGACCCTGACACTGGCTGGGCATGGGGACAGTGGGACCCCTCTGACACACCCCGGCTGGCCATGGGGACAGCGGGACCCTGAAACCTGCTGGGCATGTGGACAGCAGGACACCAAAACCGGCTGGGCATGGGGACAGTGGGACCCCGAAAACTGGCTGGTATTGGGGACAGGGGGACCCCGACACCAGCTGACATTGGGGACAGTGGGACCCCGAAGCCAGCTGGCATTAGGGACAGCGGGACCCCGACAACGGCTGATATTGGGGACAGGGGGACCCTGACACTGGCTGGGCATGGGGACAGGGGGACCCTGACCCTGGCTGGGCATGGACAGGGTTAGTCAGGTTAGGGTTAGGGTTAGGGTTAGGGTTAGGGTTAGGGTTAGGACAGGGGGACCCTGAAACCGGCGGGGCATGGGGACAGTGGGACCCCAAACCGGCTGGGCATTGGGGGCAATGGGACCCCGAAACTGGCTGGCCTTGGGGACAGGGTGACCCGTTACCGGCTGGGCATTGGGGACAGCGGGACCCTGAAACTGGCTGGCATTGGGGACAGGGTTGCCTGAAACCTGCTGGGCATGGGGACAGTGGGACCTACCTGGCTGGCCTTGGGGACAGCAGGACCCCACAGCACACCCCAACCAACCCTGGGCCAGCAGAAGACCTGACCGAGGGGTTTGGGGGGCACGGGAACCCCCTGGGTGATGCTTCTTTGGCACAGGGGGCTGTGGATTATAGGGGGCTGTGGAGTATGGGGGGCTGGGGGGCATGGGCAGGGCTGTGGAATATGGGGGGCCTGTGGAGAAAAGGGGGCTGGGAGGCTGGGGGACTCTGGAATATGGGGGGGCTGTGGAGCACAAGGGACTGTGGAATATGGGGGGCTCTGGAGAACGGGGGGGGCTGTGGAATATGGGGGCCCAGGGAGCACGGGGGCCTGTGGAACACAAGGAACTGGGAGGCTGTGGAGCACAGGGGGCTGTGGAGAACAGGGGGTGTTGTGGAGCTTGGAGGTGTAGAATATGGGGGGGCTGTGGAATCTGGAGGGCTGGGGAGCACTGAGGGGGCTGGGCAATATGGGGGCTGTGGAATATTGAGGGGGCTGGGGAGTATGGGGGGCTGTGGAAAATAGGGGGCTGGGGAATATGGGGAACTGGGGAGCACGGGTGGCTCGGGAGCATGGGGGGCTGTGAAATATGGGGGGCTGTGGAGCACTGCGGGGCTGTGGAGAACGGAGGACTGCAGAGCCCGGGGGGCTCTGAAGTAGAGGGGGCTGTGGACCACAGGGAACTGGGGGGCTCTGGAGCACAGGGGGCTGTTGAACACAGGAGGCTGGGGGGCTCTCGAGCACAGGGTAATGGGGTCTCTGGAGCATGGGGGGCTCTGGAGCACAGGGAACTGGGGGGCTGTGGAGCATGGGGGGCTGTGAAACAAGGAGTTAGGGGGCTCTGGAGCACAGGAGGCTGTGCCAGCCCGTGCTCAGCGCCAGCCCTTCTCCGCAGGTGTTCATGGAGGAGCTGAACCGCAAGCAGCCTGACGTAGAGAAGGTGACCAAGAGCTGCAAGCGGAAGCTGGCGGTGGACCTGGGCCCCCCGGCCACCCGCCGGCTGGCCACACGTAAGGAGCCCCATCATCGCCCCCCTCCCACGGCCCGGGACCCCCGGCTGCCCCCTGACCCGCTGTCCGCAGGTCGCCGCAGCGGCGGGAAGGCGCAGGGCACGGCGGCGGCGCCGCTCGGGGCGCTGGAGCCCCAGACGCCGCTGATGGCGCAGCTCCTGCACCGCTGGCAGCAGCTCTGGCTGCTGGCCCTGGACCGGCAGTACCGGCTGGAGACGGCCCTGCAGCGCCTGCGGGAGGTACGGCTGGCACCGGGGGTGTCCCTGTGCTCTGGGGGGTCCTGAGCAGCTCCTCTCATCTTCTGACCATGGCCCCCCCCCGGCCAGGTCATGGGGAAGGGGTCAGCAGCCCCAGAGCCTGTCCCTGCAGGGCTCTGTCCCCTGTCCCTGTCCCTCGCTCCCCTGTCCTGTGCCCTGTCCCCTGTCCCTGTCCCTCCCATGGGTGCACCCTGATATCCCAGAGTGGCTGCTGGAGCCCCCTGCACCACAGAGTGGGGGGTCCTGGGCAGAGACCCCACCCTTGCAGCCGTAGCAGGGCCAGGGCTGGGAGCAGCCAGGCTGTGGAGCTGAGGCTGCCCGTGGGCACAGCATCGTGAATCAGGCTGGGGCAAGGGGCATGAGGGGGGCATGAGAGGGGCGTGAGGGGGTCCTGCTCATCCCCTCTGTGCCCCTCCCAGCTGGAGGAGTTCGCGCACTTTGACTTTGGGGTCTGGAGGAAGCGCTACATGCAGTGGATCAGCCAGATGAAGTCTGTCCCTGCAGGGCCCTGTCCCCTGTCCCTGTCCCTCCCATGGGTGCACCCTGATGACCCAGAGGGGCTGCTGGAGCCCCCTGCACCACAGAGTGGGGGTCCTGGGCAGAGACCCCCCTTGCAGCTGTAGCAGGGCCAGGGCTGGGAGCAGCCAGGCTGGGGAGCTGGGGCACAGCGTGATGAACCGGGGGGCATGAGGGCGTCCTGCTCATCCCCTCCGTGCCCCTCCCAGCTGGAGGAGTTCGCGCACTTTGACTTTGGGGTGTGGAGGAAGCGCTACATGCAGTGGATCAGCCAGATGAAGTCACGCGTCCTGGACGTGTTCCGCGGCATCGACAGGGACCAGGACGGGCGCATCAGCCAGCGCGAGTTCATCGAGAGTGTCCTGGCCTCCAGTGCGTGCCTTGGAGGGGCTGGAGGGGGATGAGGGGCTGGAACTGGGGGCTGATGGTCTCTGTCCCCCCCCAGAGTTCCCCACCAACGTGCTGGAGATGAATGCTGTGGCTACCATCTTCGACATGAATGGCGACGGCTTCATCGACTACTACGAGTTCGTCAGCGCCCTGCACCCCAACCGGGACCCACTGCGCCGCTCTGCTGATGCTGACCAGATCCAGGACGAGGTGTGGGGCCGGGCAGCGGGGCTGGGGGGCGCCTGGAAGGGTGGGGACCCCGCCTGGGGCTGAGCTGAGCGTGCCCCCACAGGTGAACCGGCAAGTGGCCCAGTGCAACTGCGCCAAGCGCTTCCAGGTGGAGCAGATCAGCGCCAACAGGTACCGGGTAAGTGCCAAGCTGGGCTCTGACACCTGTACCAGCCCCGTGCCCTGTGCAGTGCCCGTGTGCCAGGACAGGGAGGGGCCACATCCCCGTGCCCATGCAGGGGTCCTGCAGTGCCCATGTGCCAGGGCAGGGAGGGGGCACATCCCCATACAGGGGTCCCGCAGTGCCCGAGTGCCAGGGCAGGGAGGGGGCACATCTCCGTGCCCATACAGGGGTCCTGCAGTGCCCGTGTGCCAGGGCAGGGAGGGGGCACATCCCCATACAGGGGTCCCGCAGTGCCCGAGTGCCAGGGCAGGGAGGGGGCACATCTCCGTGCCCATACAGGGGTCCTGCAGTGCCCGTGTGCCAGGGCAGGGAGGGGCCACATCCCCGTGCCAATACAGGGGTCCTGCAGTGCCCGTGTGCCAGGACAGGGAGGGGCCACATCCCCTCGCCAATACAGGGGTCCTGCAGTGCCCGTGTGCTGGGACATGGAGGGGGCACATCCCCATACAGGGGTCCTGCAGTGCCCGTGTGCCCAGGCAGGGAGGGGGCACATCCCTGTGCCAATACAGGGGTCCTGCAGTGCCCGTGTGCCCAGGCAGGGAGGGGGCACATCCCTGTGCCAATACAGGGGTCCTGCAGTGCCCGTGTGCCAGGGCAGGGAGGGGGCACATCCCCGTGCCAATACAGGGGTCCTGCAGTGCCCGTGTGCCAGGACAGGGAGGGGCCACATCCCCATACAGGGGTCCTGCAGTGCCCGTGTGCCCAGGCAGGGAGGGGGCACATCCCTGTGCCAATACAGGGGTCCTGCAGTGCCCGTGTGCCAGGGTGGGCAGGGGGCACATCCCTGTGCCCATACAGGGGTCCTGCAGTGCCCGTGTGCCAGGGTGAGCAGGGGGCACATGCCCCTGCCCTGAGGAGCCCTGGCCCCTATGGAAGGGTGTAGAATTTTCAGACAACTCCAACAAGGGAAGAGACGAGGATCTGACTCCATGTTTCAGAAGGCTGATTTATTATTTTATGATATATATTATATTAAAAGAAAATTAAATACTAAAACTATACTAAAAAAGAGAAAGGAGACATCGGAAGGCTAAAAAAGAATGGAATGAATAAAAAAATCTTGTGACTGCTCACGGCCTCGACACAGGTGCCTGTCATTGGTCATCAAGTAAAAACAATTTTACATCCTGGGTAAACAATTCTGCAAATCACATCCCAAACCAGCAAAACATGAAGAAGCTGAAGCTTCTCAGCTTCTCAGGAGAAAAGATCCTAACGAAAGGATTTTCCTTAAAAATATGTCGGTGACAGGAGGCAGTGCCAGTGGGGCTGGAGGGGTAGCAGGGAGGGGCAGGTCTGGGTGCTGCCCCCTGCTCTGGCGCCCCTTCCCCACACCCAGCCCTGCCCCAGCGTCCCTCTCCCCGCAGTTTGGGGAGTCCCAGCAGCTGCGGATGGTGCGGATCCTGCGCAGCACCCTCATGGTGCGGGTGGGCGGCGGCTGGATTGCCCTCGACGAGTTCCTGGTGAAGAACGACCCCTGCAGAGGTGGGTGCAGGGGTCCCACTCCGGGCATTTCTCTGGTGGGGTCCCACGGTGTGTGCGGGGCCATGGGGGGGCCATGGGGGGTGTGTTCACAGGGGTTCTGGGATGAGGTAAGAGACGAGGATCTGACTCTGCGTTTCAGAACGCTGATTTATTATTTTATTATATATATTACATTAAAACTATACTAAAAGAATAGAAAAGGTTCTCATCAGAAGGCTAACTAAGAATAGGATCAGAAAGAATGATAACAAAAGCTTGTCTTGGACAGAGAGTCCAAGCTAACTGGCTGTGATTGGCCATTAACTAGAAACAAGCACATGAAACCAATCACAGATGCACCTGTTGCATTCCACAGCAGCAGACAATCAATGTTTACATTTTGCTCCTGAGGCCTCTCGGCTTCTCAGGAGGAAAAATCCTAACGAAAGGGTTTTTCGTGAAAGATGTCTGTGACAGGGGGGCACAGCACTCCCCACGGTCTCACACTCCTGGCACTCCACTCACCCCCTCCGTTGTCCCCAGTGAAGGGAAGGACCAACCTGAAGATCAACGAGAAGTACCTGTCCTCAGACGTGTTCGGAGCCGCCGCCAGGTGCGCCGGGACCCAGTCGGCCGCCTCCTCCAAAGTGCTGTCCCCGAGCCGCTCCAACTCCAGCCTCAGCCTCTACAGCAGCGCCTCGGCCCCCAGCAGCCCCCTGGCCAGGAAGGTACGAACCACGGAGCGCCCCCTGCAGTCCCGAGTCCCCCAACCCGCCCTCCGCGGGCTCTGACCCTCAATCTCACCCTCATCCTCACCGTCCCCAGTCGGTGCTGCGGAGGACGCGCTCCGGGGACCGCTGTCCGCGCTCCCGGGGCTCGGGGCTGCCCGACGGAGCCGAGCTGCAGTTCAGCGCGGCTGAGGAGAGCCTGCCTGTGGCACCGCCAGGTTAGTGCCGTGGGGCTGGGGGGCACAGGGGAGCCGGGCTGTGGCGCTCCCAGGCTGGGGGGAGCCGGGGAGCCGGGCTGGGTGCGCTCTGTGCTCACGGCGGCGGGGCTGGGGGGCACCGGGAACCGGGCTGTGCCACCTCGAGGTGAGCTCCGTGGGGATGGGGGTCACCGGGGAGCCGGGCTGTGGCGCTCCCAGGCTGGGGGGAGCCGGGGAGCCGGGCGGGGTGCGCTCTGTGCTCAGGGCGGCGGGGTTGGGGCGCACCGGGGACCGGGCTGGGTGCGCGCTGTGCCGCAGGGCAGCGGGGCTGTCCCCCGTCCCTCGCAGCGCTGGAGCCGGGGCCGGCCGAGCTCCGCGCTCCATCCATCCCCTCCGTGCCCCCGCAGAGCCGCCCGAAGGGTCCCCTCCGGAGCGCTGCAGCCCCTGCCGCTGAGCCCCGCGCCCGCCCTGCGCCCAGCACCCTCGGCCGGCCCCACTCAGGACCCTCCTGCACGGGGCCGCGCCCCCCGCGGGTCTCCGGCCCGGCGCTGCAGCCCCCCGAGCGGGGCTGAGCTGGACGGCCGGCACCGACCGCGGCGCCGGGGCCCGTTCCAGAGGATATGCAAGCATCGCCTCCCGACGCCCAGCGAGCCCCCGGGCTCCGCTCCGAGCGCCCGGGGCTGCGGGACCGGCCGGGCACCCCCCGCCCTCCTCCCGTGCCGCCGGTACCCCCGGCACCGGGCATTGCTCACGGGGGTGCCCACGGTGCCTCCCCCGCCCCGGCCCGGGAGGCGGCCGGGCTCGGTACCCGGCACCGGGAGCCCCCATTCTGGTGCTAACCCTCACCCCTCGGCCTTGGGGGTGCTCCGGCCGCCCCCTGCCCCGGGGTCCCGTCCCGTCCCGTCCCGTCCTGCCGGCGGCACCGGGGGCAGCGGGACCCCCGCCCCTCCGCCGCATGCCCGCGCCACCCCCACTAACCGGAGAGCAGTAGAGCTGAATGTAACCCCGGCCGGGCGCGCCCGCCGCCACAATAAACTGTAGTGAGGTTCCTTTTTCTACCGGCGCCCCGTCTGTCCGTCCGTCCGTCCGTCTGCGTGGGGAGGGGCTCCGCGCCGTGCCTCGGCCGAAGGAGGGGTTAGTCGGTCTCTCTGTCCGTCTGCTAGGGGCGGGAGGCTGCAGTGTGTCTGGTTTGTGTGCTCACCCCACTGTCAGGATGGGGAGGTGCAGTCTGTCCATCTATCCATCTGGCCAGGACAAGGGGCTGCAGTCCATCAGTCTGTCTGCCTGTCTGTCTGTCTGGACAAGGAGCTGCATTCTGTGAGTCTGTCTGTGTGCCCAGGACAAGGGGCTGCAGTCCGTCAGTCTGTCCATCTGACCAGGACAAGGAGCTACAGTCCATCAGTCTATCTGCCTGTCTGTCTGTCTGGACAAGGAGCTGCATTCTGTCAGTCTGTCTGTGCGCTTGGGACAAGGTGCTGCAGTCTGTCAGTCTGTCCATCTGACCAGGACAAGGGGCTGCAGTCTGTCAGTCTGTCCACCCCTCACTCTGCTGTCATGGCAAGGGGTGTCCCCTCACCACAGCAGGTGCCACCAGCGTGGTGTCACCCGGTGGCCGGGCAGGGCTGGGTGTGCCCCAGCCAGTGGCACAGGAGCCCCAGGCGCTGCAGCGGTGCCAGCACCGCATCCCCTCCTTTCCACGGAAGGCATTGCTGCCATTCCTGGTGGCATTCCAGCTGGCACCAGCACCCATCGTGGGCAGTGCGGAGAGAGGGAAGATCCTGTCCCGGGTGCTGGCGGCTCTCTGGGCACCCACAGCCCTGATGGCACCGGGAATGTCCCCATCCAGCACGGTCCTGGCAGCTGTGCATCCATCCCCTGTGTGTCCCCATGTCCAGCAGGGTCCTGGCAGCTGTGCATCCATCCCCTGTGTGTCCCCATGTCCAGCACGGTCCTGGCAGCTGTGCATCCATCCCCTATGTGTCCCCATCCAGCAGGGTCCTGGCAGCTGTGCATCCATCCCCTGTGTGTCCCCATGTCCAGCAGGGTCCTGGCAGCTGTGCATCCATCCCCTGTGTGTCCCCATCCAGCAGGGTCCTGGCAGCTGTGCATCCATCCCCTGTGTGTCCCCATGTCCAGCAGGGTCCTGGCAGCTGTGCATCCATCCCCTGTGTGTCCCCATGTCCAGCAGGGTCCTAGCAGCTGTGCATCCATCCCCTGTGTGTCCTGTCCCCTTTGGGATGGGCCCAGCTGCCTGTTGGGGTGGGATGGGGTGTCTGGAGGCTCTGGTTGTGTCCCCATTCTGAGATGTGGGGGACACTTTGAGCATGGGGACTGTCCTCAGGCATTGCAGCACCACGACCCTGGCCTGGCATCTCCCCAATTTACGGGAGTCTCAGACCCCACACACTCTTTGATCCCCCACCAGCACTGCCTGGCTCTCCCTTCCCAATCCCCTTGGTCACCTGGCCATGCCCTCATGGCTTCCAGCTCTGTTTTTGCACTGTTTCACCCTAAAATCCTGTCTCCACTATTTATTTTCTGAATAAGCACAGAGCCAAAGTGTCCAGGAGTGGAACTGTGCCTGTGCTGGGCATGGAGAAACCCCAGGCATGGGTCAGGACCCTTTGCCACAGCTCCCCAAGAGCAGGGCTTAGCCCAGGGCTCTTGGTGCCACATCTGCCAACACATCCTCGGCTGCAACTCCCAACACAAATTGAGTTGCACATTCCTGTGCCATGGAAATCTCACCCGCATTCCTGTGCCCGTGGAAATCTCACCCACATTTCTGTGCCCATGGAAATCTCACCCACATTCCTGTGCCCATGGAAATGTCACTCACATTCCTGTGCCCGTGAAAATCTCACCCACATTCCTGTGCCCGTGGAAATCTCAGCCACATTCCTGTGCCATGGAAATCTCAGCCACCACTCCCAGCTGGGGCTGGTCCCTGGCACCACTGGCATTACCGGCCCCACGGCCGGTGCCAGGCGCATCCCCAGCCCCAGGCAGCGGCGCTGGCTCGGCAAGCACGGGCAGCAGGCGCGGCATGGCGGGGCCCACACCGAACTGCTCGGTGTTTTCACTGTGGCACAGCCCCAGGCAGGAGACACGGGCTGCTGTCAGCTGGCAGCGAGGCTGGCAGGGATTCCATGGACGGGCACACCCACACGGAGCACGGGAATGGGCACACGGGAACTTCACGGGAACTGCTTGGAAATTCAGTGTGCTCAGGGAGAGGGGTGGGGAGAGGGGATGTCCTGGGAGAGCCTCTGTGGCTCTCTGGGGTTGGTGCCAAGTTTGAGGGATTGCACTGCCAGGACAGCAGGTGAGCGGGTGGGGAGTTCAGGTGGCACCATCAGTCCCATGGTGACGCCATCAGCCCCATGGTAGCACCATCAGCCTCAGATAGAACCATCAGCCCCATGGTGGGACCACCAGCCACAGGTGGGACCATCAGCCCCAGACAGGACAATCATCACCATGGTTGGACCATCAGACGCAGATAGAACCATCAGCCCCAGGTGGGACCATCAGTCCCAGGTGGGACCATCAGCCCCATGGTGGGACCATTAGCTCCAGATTGAAGCATCAGCCCCATGGTGAGACCATCAGCCCTGTGGTGGGACTGTCAGCCCCATGTGGGGCCATCAACCCCACAGTGGGACCATCAGCCCCATGTGGGGCCATCAGACCCAGTTGAGACCATCTGATGCAGACAAGACCATCCTGCCCTGCCCCATGGAAACCATTGTCCTGCCCCATGGAAACCCCATCCTGCCCCATGGAAGGCACCATCCTGCCTCACAGCAGAAACCACCATCCTGCCCCATGGAAACCCCATCCTGCACCACAGAAATCACCATCCTGCCCCACGGATACCCCATCCTGCCCCACGGAAACCCCATCCTGCCTCACAGAAACCCCATCCTGCCCCATGGAAACCACCATCCTGCCCCATGGAAACCACCATCCTGCCCCACAGAAACCACCATCCTGCCCCATGAAAATCCCATCCTGCCCTGCCCCACAGAAACCCCATCCTGCCCCATGGAAACCACCATCCTGCCCTGCTCCACAGAAATCCCATCGTGCCCCATGGAGACCGCATCCTGCCCCAAGGAAACCCCATCCTGCCCCATGGAAACCAGATCCTGCCCCACGGAAACCCCACTATGCCCCATAGAAACCCCATCCTGCCCCACGGAAGCCCCATCCTGCCCCCCATTCTCAGTTCACTTGGAGAAAGAACAGAGATAATCTCTCCCATTGGAGACAATAATTTTGAATCAAAGAAAGCGCAGAGATAATCTCTCCCATTGGAGAGAATAATTCAGAGTCAAAGAAAGAGCAGAGATAATTTCTCCCATTGGAGACAATAATTTCGAGTCGAAAGAACAGAGATAATCTCTCCCACTGGATGGATTGGGGTGAGCCTGGGAACCTTAGAGAAGAAGACTTCAAACAATAGAGAAGAAGACTTCAAACAATTATTATCTCTCGTTGTGTACCCATTGTTTATATTTATGGCTCTCCACAGTGTGTTATTCACAGTCAATGTGAAATGTTCCTCCTTTGAGACCAATGGAGTCTCACCTCAGCGAGTCACACCATAAAAAGTTCCGCTACTCTCATTAAAAGCTTTCGCCTTCTGATCCACCTGGAGCCTTTCTTTGCATCCCTGACTCAGCAGCGTCAGCCCCGAGGGGTGGGGAGGGTGGGGAGGGTGGCTGTGCACACCTGACCTGGCCTGGCCCCCAGCGCTGCCACCCAAGCCCCCCAGAGCCCCCCAGAAATGGGGTCTGTGCACTCTGCTACTTGTCCTTGGTCTGGCCGTGAGCCTGGACTGATCGCACTGCGACAGACGGACACAGCACAGGAGGTGGCGGTGTTTGAGGATGGGGGAATAGATGAGAATCTTGACTCTGTGTTTCAGAAGGCTGATACTATATATTACATTACATTACATTACATTACATTATATTATATTATATTATATTGTATTATATTATATTATACTATACTATATATATTATATTATATTATATTACATTACATAATATTGTATAATGTAATATAATGTAATATATTGTAATGTAATATATTGTAATGTAATATATTGTAATACAATGTAATTATATTATATTATATTGTAATATAATGTAATGTATTACACTATATTACAATGTAATGTAATATAATGTAATATTATATGTACATAATATTATATGTAATATAATGTAATATTTAGTATAGCATATTCCATCACATATGCTATACTAAAACTATACTAAAGAAAAAAGAAAATATTTCATCAGAAGGCTGGAAAAGAGTGATAACGAAATCTCGTAGCAGACTCAAGAGAGTCCAACACATCTGGCTGTGATTGGCCATTAATTAAAGACAATTCTCATGCAACCAATCAAAGATGCACCTGTTGGTAAAACACCTCCAGACCACATTCCATCAGATAGTTATTGTTTACATTTATTTTCTGAGGCTTCTCAGCTCCTCAGGAGAAAAATCCTAGTGAAAGGGTTTTTAAATAATAA